TAAATACGACTCTATCATATGGCAAATACTCTATTACCCTTCACGGAGACGCTTGATCAAGCGTGCGCTTTACTAGATACGACTCTATTCTATGGCAAATACTCTATTACCCTTCACGGAGACGCTTGATCAAGTGTGCGCTTTATTAAATACGGATGGTTGTTATGTACAAGACGTCATAGTTTATTACTTTGGATTTGAAATTTAATCGACAGTAATAACAGAACATTCAGTATAATAAATTAAATAACACATATCTGAGAGGGTGATAGAGCAGATTGTTACCCCTCGAAAAGACATTGTCAACCTCAGCTTCGCCTCAGTTGACAATGTTTTCTCGGGGTAACAATCTGCTTTATCACCCTCTCAGCTATGTGTTATTTATATAATGTATCTGTTATTTCAACTCTGTTAATGAATTCGCAATTTTAACTGATGAAAAAAAATTGACCACTACTCAATGTTTGTACACAGTTTTTGTTAATGGAATAAAAATGATTTTTGTTTGTTAATGTTTTATCTTCTTAACTAATATTACCTCGGAGTCCATTACCTTCTTAATTCATTTAGCGAGATTTAAACATCGGTAAAATGTTAACATTTACTGTTATTTGTAAATATGGAAGGTATGAGTCCACGACAGGTGCCTTATCTTGAGCAGGATTTTTTCACCCTTTTCACACCTTTTTTCTATGAACCGCAGGTGGTTAAAAAAATATTTTCAGTGTAGTCATTAAAAAAATGACTGATTCTAGTAATTGGAAAGTCGATCCACTTTTAATGTTAGTGATATTGTCTCCCTTTGCCTGGACACAGTTTTATGATCAAATATACACATGTAACAAATTTCAAAATGGTATAATCGATTTCCTCATTTTCGTTCGCAATTATTTTAACACCTTGTGTACGGATACTAGTACAGTGTTTTAAAAAACATGTGTTTTTTATCTCTGATTAAAATATATGTAGGGTCATAAATGAGGCAGCTTTACGAATCGACGTAAAGAACCAAAAGACAACCAAAAGACATTCAAACCTCCCGCCTTCATCTCGAACCTGTTAAAAAGACATAATTATAATTATATGAAAGATTTTAAAAAAAATAAGTACAGAAATGCATTAAACTTTAAATTTTTCGAAAAAACTAAGGATTGTCTACCCCCAGGAATAGATTACCTTAGCTGAATTTGGGAAAACCTTTCGGAATGAATTTGTGTGTTCTCAATTCTCTTCAACTTCGTATTTTATTTGACTTTTTAACGTTTTTTATTCGAGCGTCACTGATGAATCGTTTGTAGACGAAGGCGTCTGGCCTACACAATTTTAAGGCTGCGGTATCTACGATGTGTTTATTTAAACTCTTTGATATAGTCATAAAATATAACACAAAAACACAAGAGGTATCAGCAATTATAAATGAAAATAATAACTAGAATTGCTATTGCTTAATAGCGGATGTCAACACGGTCCTCCAATTACCACGGTAATTGCAGCTAATTTGAAAATTCCAAAGTCGAATAACACAGCTCCACATGCAAGTTAGCATCTCTATAAAGTTTTAATAAGTTTGAAGCATTTAAATTTTTCTACATGTTTGCAGTTTTCATAGCAACAGCGCCCATCTGCATATGCCAGTACAAATTTCTGTAAATTTTCAATGAATCTAAAGCGTTTTGAAATTTTGTTTTTTCCATAGCAACCATGGCCATTTTGAAAAATTTCATAACTTACTCGACAACTACACATTAAAGATTGTTACATTTGATCTTGTGATCTTTAAGAAAATAATACTTTTGTGATTTCACATAGGGTTCTATATTTAACATAGAAAATGTCGCTGCGGTGTAGTTCCGAAGATCCCCAAAATCACAAAAAAACTGTATTTAGTGGACACCTACTTTGTATAAAATTTTTATGATTTTTAGTTCAGGCATATCAAACTCATAATCCTTAAAACTCAAACATTTTATTTTTCACATTGTTAAGTTTCCATGGTTACAGCGGCCTTTTGAAAATTCAAAAGATGCCGTGCACATCTACTGATGGTGATCCTCATTATGGTAAACGATCATCAAGATTGGTCCAATAGTCCCCGAGTAATGTCGCGGACAAAAAAAGTTGGAAGAATAAAAATAATAGTGAAGAAATGGAGGAAGAGCAATATTCTATGCGATTGTCATACAAGTGAGAGATTTAGCTAGCTATAAAACCAGGTTTAATCCACCATTTTTTACATAAGGGAATGCCTGTACCAAGTCAGGAATATGACAGCTGTTTTCCATTCGTTTGATGTGTTTGAGCTTTTGATAATTCCATTTGATAAAAGACTTTCCGTTTTGAATTTTCCTTGGGGTTCGGTATTTTTGTTTTTTTTTCTTTTCACCCGACATTCGTTCTGGGTGGGGTGGGGAGTTGACATAATAATAAATTTTACGGTTGGTAACCGTATCAGTGAATGCTCGCACTGGTATTTTCCTACAATACTTTTCCGGTTGATGATAAATCAAGGTCCTACATTCGTATATCGGCGACTTTACTCTGGTATACACAGCAACATCATAAAACGTAAAATATGATATGATATTGTACTACGCTAAGTTAAAAACTGTCCAAATGTCCAATGAAGAAAAAACAAAAGAAACACTCTTTAGGTCTTGTTTGGAGACGTCGCTTCAACATGCCCATATCCAACCAATGTCAAAAATCATCACGAAGGAAAGGAAGTAAAGAGTAGGAAAATGTGTCCCCTTTGTTAATTTTCATAGTACGAAGGTCATAATATGTACCGATTATCGGGTTGTCTGCATATTGATATTGTAAAATATTAGCTGCGAGTCACAATATGAAGCATTTTGTCGAGTGAGCTCAGCGAACGATTTTAAAAAGGCTTCATATTGTGTCGGGCAGCTGATATTTCACAATATCAATATGCAGACATCCAGATAATCTATTTATTGGGTTGAATTTCCGCATTTTGCATGAGAGAAACAAGTGTTTTCTTTGTTTCACCAGCAAACCGAACTTATCAACGTCGGTTCATTCAAAGCCGTGATGTGCAATTTTATGAAGAGCTGAGCAGAGTGATACAGACAGTGCATGGGAAGAAGTAATATCATGCAAGGTCTAAAACTTTAGAGATAAGAGTAATTTGAGGTGGATAACTTTATTTTACCTTACTTAGTAATATATACATGCACATCTTAAAAATATCATATCTAAAAAATGTGTTTTTAAAATTTAATTAACATTTTCGGATGTACACATTACTAAACTAAGCTGACTGTTAATGGCGTCTTTACACTAAATCCATTGGATGTTGGATGCGTACTGATTGATATTTTAGTCTTAGATACATGATTGTTGTCATTAGTTGTAATGGGCTTTGAACTAGTTGTCAGTAACTGCTACTACTCTCAGATCTGTACTTAGTGTCTTTTTGTTTTTGGGATGTACAAGTACCCGTCCACGTCCACTCTGTGTTTTTGTTAGATGTATTTCTATTTGTAACCATCTGACGAGTTAAGCCTTTTTCAACAGATTTTTATAGTTTGTTCTTATGTTGTACTGTTACACCACTGTCCCAGGTTAGGGGAGGGTTGATCGCTCACAAACATATTTAACCCCGTCACATTCTTCGTGTGCCTGACCCAAGTCAGGAGCCTGTAGTTCAGTGATGGTCGTTGGTTCATGTCTGTCATATTTGTTTTTCGTAAATTGTTTTGTTATAAATTAGGCCGTTAGTTTTCTCAATTGAATTGATTCATATTTTTCATGTCGGGGCCTTTTATAGCCGACCATACGGCATGGCTTTTTCTCATTGTTGAAGGCTGTAATTTGTTGCCTATAATTGCTTACATCCACTTCATTTGAACTTTGGTGGATAGTTGTCTCATTGGCAATCATACCACATCTCCTTATTTTTATACAGTATATATGCGTAGATCTTAACATATTTCAAAATTGTATCTCACTTTAATTCCGAAAATTATGATTGAGATTTGAAATGTTCTGTGAGGGTCTGGATGAGGTGTACAGAATAGATAATTAAGGACAAAATGTGCAAAAAATAAAAAGACAAAATATATGAAGAATAGAAAAATAGGCCACAAAATAAATAATAGAGAATGATGGGGTGCTAAAATATAAAGAATAGAGAATTAGGGTCTAAAAATTTAACGAATGCAACAATGAAGGATCCTCCATCTTGACCCTCTTCTATTGAAACTGTAGATCATTGAGGTGCTAGGTATTTTAATACAACTGGCAAAGTGAGCTTTCAACTGTTCTTCGATAGTATGAAATGAAACATACACGTATTGCATAATTTTATTCTTCACCATAATGACTTATGGTAGGAAATATATTGAAATCATCTCAAATCAATTTTATAAGAATATCATACTTAAATAGTTAGAATATCACATTTAATTAAGTTTTAGATTTTCAAATATTTCCGCCTCGAGCATCACTGAAGAGACATTAATTGTCGGAATGCGCATCTGGTGCATACACATTGGTAACGTTAATTTTATTAATGTGTATGATTAATCAACACTATATTTCAAGTTCATTTAATTATGTATGCACTTTTTTAATTTTCAATTTTATTAGTATTTAATTGATACATATGACTGTGTCAGCGTGAATTGTACAGCTAAAGCAAGCTTATTACCTTTAAGCACATTGCGATTTGATTAAAAAAGACATACAGTTTTACATGTACACCTGCCTTCTAGATTGAAATCGAAAAATACATTTATACGATGTAGAAGTATAAAATTAATTCATAAACAATTTGACATAATAATGTAGCCTCAAATTTGATTGATATAATTTATTAATCCATATTTAAAAGAACGTTAATACACTAATCCTAATGTCGGTGAAATTTGTTCTATTTCCAAAAATCGGCTTAGTCATTAAAAGTTTTAGACTTTGTCTTGGTAAAATTTTATTGTTTATGCATCCGTGACAATACTATTGCTAGGTAGATTAAAACAATGGCCGACACTATAACGTAACTCGTTAACTTTTATGTACAAAACATGAGAAAATGGTTAATTTTCAGAAGATGATTAGAAAATATGGAAGTTCTTCAAGGAAAAGTGAAATTTCCAACATAAAATGATTGTTTGTCAACAGGTGTCCTTCTGGATCTTCTCTTTTATTCTTCTTCTTCAGAATCATGACGTCATAGGTAAGTCTTATTTATTTCTAATCTATGAAAACTTTGATCAATTATTTGGTATTTGTATTTCAAAACAAATGTACAGAAAGACAAGAGTTTACTCTATCCATATATGAGGAGTGGACAGGGGCTCGTACCCCCAACTCCAAATTCACTCCCCCATCTCCCAATTCCCTCAACTACTCCCACTTCCATATCCCATAATTGCCAGACGAAAATCGGTCAAAATCTGTTTTCCAGTAAATTCATATTTTTACTCCACCTTTTCCCTCGGTTCCCACCCCTGACTCCCGCTTCCCTCACCCTGACTCCGGCTTCCCGCACACTCATTTCCATGTTCCCTTACCCCTGTCCACCCTCATATATAAATGTTATTCTGACACCATTATTCTCTGATTTATATCTTCGTTCACACTGGAGCTCATTGTATGTAAACACTTAAGAGTTGCATTAATATCAAAAGAAATACTCCTTCAATTAAGTTATGGACTTTTTTTTGTCCGACAAAAGGTTATAGGCTACCCAAACTTTGCTTGCCAGACAAAGGACCATCAACGTCCGTCCGTCTAGCTGATTGTATAAAGATGTACCAATATTTGTTCGGAATGAAAACGTTAAATCCAATGTCTCATTTCGGGATAATGTCGACACCTTAGGGAAAACTTCCAACAGCTTTGTGGAGGTCCGTAGTGGTTTTTTCCAACCTTAACGAAGATGACCTCATTTTAAAATGGCTTTTGGAAGTTCCAACTATACTACCGTTCCATTCACATGCAAATCGATTTATTGTATAACTGGCTGTAGTCATGAATATATAAAACAAATATTTGACACTGACCGTTAAGAAAAGAACAATCAATTATCATTGTCTTAGAGAAAGAAAGTTCTAATTTTACCACAAACCAAGAAATCAAAAGTGCATGAAACAGACATCTATTTGTCATTTCGGGGCCTTTTATAGCCCACTATGTGGTATTGGTTTTACTCATTATTAAAGGCCGTACGGTGACCTATAGTTGTTAATATCTGTGTCATTTTGGTCTCTTGTGGAGAGTTGTCTCATTGGCAATCATACCACATCTTCTTATTTTATATCTAATATTAAGATGAATCAATAGAAATGATATCCGATTCCACTTAAAAGCGACTTTTAAACACCTGATATTCAAGTTTTGATGATGGTATTCATCAGATTATAGCTGTCTATGTAGTCTTTTGTATAGACTTGTTTAGTCTCTTTTTTCTTTCTCTTGGACATAATTGTAATTCTTCTTTTTATTGTCCTCTTCAACCTATGTTATCTTATATCACACCGGCTCTCAGTGGTCAGACGATCAATTTGAGCTCGCATCTCCTATGACAAAATTGGATGATTTATATTAATTGATTGCTGATTGCTAAACGTCCAGTGACAAATATTTCATGCATATTTGGCAATACATCAAATAATTAATCAAATAGGTAGGTTTTGAAAAGTGGTTGGGCTGCTGTTATGGTCTAGACTGTCACTGAAAATGACTGGGCCTAGAAACGGGGTATCGATTTAACCTCGGCTTCACAATCTGATAGGAAATAGAAGCTTACGATGCTGGTCGGTCAGTTCGTTCGTTCTTAAGTCCGTTCATATAACATTGTGTTGCCGATATTAACAGACAAAGTCAAACGGACGCCCTCCTTATCATGGATGTTACTATAGACCAGGATAAGTCGGGGAAATCATATTGCTATACTTCAGTTAAATTTGATGTAAAAAGACATTTAGTTCTTCACGGTAAAATAGGCTTAATCTCTTTAAAAGTATACCCTTTGTCTAGCTATAAGAAGCAATTCATAAATTGAGTTATTGGATAGTTATATATATAGTTGGAAGTCAAGTGACCATTAAGGCAGCCACTGGATTTAGGAAGGTGAAATAATTGCAAAATCCTTGATCTACCACGTCTCAATGACAATATTGTTGTTTCGTGTAGAGAAAGTACCACGCTCTCTGCACATTAAGAACCCTTGCAACAACTCTTTGTGGCGTCCAAAGGTGGCGTGTTGCAAGGTTATTTTTCTGTCTCTATCCAGTAAAGATACATTTTCCCAGTGACATTTCAAATTTCCCATCTAACAATCCGGTCGATTCCCTATTGTAGAACCTAATCATTGTAATTATTGTCAATGTATCATAAACATGCATGTTATATTTGCCACTGGACGTTAACCAAATAACAACATCAATCAATTAATTATTTTCATGATTGAATTAATAGTTTTCATTTGTTTTACAACGTAACCAGTTAATATAACCTGGTATGTTTGAGACGTATCAGCTCTTGTTTGAACATATATCATATATGACGTCAGTAAAAGGTCGAGTCAGGGTTATTCACTGCAGATCAAACAAATTTGAGTCATATGGCCGACACATTGAATTTTTTAAGACCTCACATGACCGATACAATAATAAAGAAACTCGAGCGTATTTACATTTCTTTCAATTTCTGATTTTCATATCATATCTATTTTAGATGGAGCTTGTCTATTTCCTATGAATAGTGGGACATGGCTGTCGACAGACAAAGGATCGCTTTCCATTACGTCCTCTATAATAATTGACTATCAAACATCAACATTTGGTAGCCTTAGTTTTGAATGCTATACAAGTTCTGGAACTAAATATGTAGCAAGGTAATTAACGTGTTTTTCAGTATAATGAAGAGTTAACTTGTGTGTAAGCCTATTATGTATCTCGTTATATAAAGTTGTATAATGCATTTAAAATGAGTCCATTTCTCACGAAATCTCATCAAATACATGTTTGTATCAAACTAAAGATATGAGATACACGCGCAGTTAATTGGGGTTCTAAATAATGATTATTGTCTCATTGTACAGCAAAATTAATATGATAAACGTACCCTCTTTCCTATTATGGGACGAGAAGCATTGTACTACACAGAAATGAGACCGATTGCTATGCGGTATGGGTTTTGCTAATTGTTTCAGACCGTACGGTGACCTATAGTTCCTAGCATCTACATCATTTGGTCCCTCGTGGAGACTTGTCTCATTGGTAATCATACCACAACTTTTTATGTTTATATTAATTATTTTGACCAGCACGTACGGTATAATATCTAGAGACAAGTTTGAATTAATTTAGATTAAATTATTATTGACATATACCTAACCCCTTTTATTCACATCCATAAATCTATGAAATATTAAAAAAAAGATCTATGTAAATACACGCATATACATGTAAATATGTGATAAAATCAATACAATTTAACCTTGTCTCATCCTGGAGAACAATAACGGAATGAGAAAGACTTCTTTCATTTCAACAGTATCAAACTTCGTCATACTTTAAACAAAGTAAAGTTACCACCAAAATTTTGACAAACTTAACAATAATTGAAAGAAAGTAGCTTGAAATAATGGTGCGAAACTAAGATAATAAAAATGGTGGGAAACTCTATGGTGTGCTATTATGGTTTTATTGATAGATAGTTGGTGAAAAGGCAGACAAAAAATCGTTAAGTAGTGGATAAATTTATTTAATCTCGAACAAAAAAATCATTTCAGCTCGAACAAAAAATCATCTCAGAAGGAAGAAAAAGAGAGTAGTTACAAAGGAATTACCAATAAAACAAGGAAACATCTTATCATAATGAAGTAAAATAAAGATTTTACTTTGATGACGATAACTGTAGACGGGTTTTTTTTTTCTGTTCTTTTCAGGCCAATTATTAGATGCTTTCAAACGTTTAATGTATTTGTTTCTGAATTTTTTTGTTTCTTTTTAGATAGTTTTTAGAAATCTGTTTATATAAGATAAAGGAATTTACTTACCAATATATTTACAAAATGTAATTCATTTTTTCAATGAATCGAATTCGAAGACAAACTGACATCGCCATGGAAAAAAAACGGACAACGTCGAAAAGACAAACAAACAGTCTACACTAAATAGACAGCACAAAAAACAGTGGTTATCTCTGGATCTCTAGAATAATTACCAGATCCTGCTCTACACGTGGCACTTGTCGTGTTGCTCGTTTTAGTGGACAAAAAGCTGCATGCATTTTTTTCTGTTTTAGGTCAACCACGTTTACGCGTTATGGTGTGGACGTTCGAGCTTATGTATGCTTCAAACTTGTTAAAGTCACCACGTTCCAATACTATTACTATGAAGATTCGGGTAGGTCGTTCTTGGTTCAATGTAAGGAAAATAATCCACATGTCCTTGATAAATCCTTAAGTCAACTTATGATTGTAAAAGGTTACCAATTCAACACTCTAATTAGATCTTTGAATATTGTTTTTATTGGTATAAATATTGATTTGTTATCAGTAAATTAAAACCATACTAAATAGAATTTTAATATACATATGCACTTTCACGGTAATACAATCTGTCGATACCTATATTTTGGCATTGTACAAGGTCATGTTTTTCTCTGACTGTTAATGACATCTTTACACTAAATACATTGGATGTTGGATGTGTACTGATTGATATTTTAGACTTATATACATGATTTTTTATGAGTTGTTATTGGCTTTGAACTAGCTGTTATTAACTGCGAGTCCTTTGTGTCTTTTTTGTTGTGAGGGATGTATAAATACCCTGCCACGTCCGGTCTGCGTTTTTGTTAGATGTTTTTCTGCTTTGTATCGATCTGATGAGTTAGGCCCTTTTCAACTGATTTTAATAGTTTGTTCATATGTTGTACTGATACAACCACTGTCCTATGCTTCGGGAAGGGGTGGAACCTTCAAACATGTTTAACCCCGCCACATTCTGTATGTGCCTGTCCCAAGTCCAGAGCCTGTAGTTCAGTGGTTGTTGTTGGTTTATTTCTGTCATATTTGTTTTTCGTGAATTGTTTTGTTATAAATCAGGCCGTTAATTTTTTGTCATTTCGGGGCCTTTTAATGCCGTCTATACGGTATGAGTTTTTCTCATTGTTGAAGGCCGTATGATTGTCTATAATTGCTTACATCCACTTCATATGAATATTTATGGATAGTTGTCTCATTGCCAATCATACCAAATATCCTTATTTCTTTACACATATCCTTATTTTATATACAATGAGTGATTAAAGCATTGAAGAGGCGCACTTTGCTTCCTAAACTGGTTAGTCGTTTCAGAATCTAAACATGCATGTATAAAAAAATATGAAGATGTGGACAATGATACAACTCTCCACAAGAGACCAAATGACATAGAAATTAACAACTATGGGTCTTCAACAATGAGTAAAACCCATACTGCATATTCAGCTATAAAAGGCCCCGAAATGACAAATGTATAACAATTCAAACGAGAAAACTAACGGCCTGATTTATGTACAAAGTAGTGAACGAAAAACAAATATGATAAACAGCAATAAACGACAACCACTGAATTACAGGATCCTGACTTGGGACAGCCACATACAGAATGTGGCGGGGTTAAACTAGTTTGAAGGCGCGCCAACCCTCCCCATGTACATTGTAGCAACGTCCAAAACAATGAACATGAACCAATTGCGTAATGTTATTGTTATGAAAAAAACTCTTATTTTATAGTGTTGAATTGTCCGATGCGAAAACTTTGAGCTGAAAAAAGTTATTGTTGTTCCATTTCAAATTTATTTCTTTTATTTGGTATTTCTTCTGTAGTTACTGCAGTTTGGGTACTATCAAGAAGTAACTCTATCCTAGTATATTCATTTTAACAAGCATGACGGGGACATTTCTTATAATCAATGCTTTGGTGACAAGTCCATGATTATGAATTTTAGTTTGGCTCGACTACCTGTTTAAAAACTAAATTTTCAGAGCATGTGGCTGTTTTATTTCATCAGAATTGCATATAGATTAAATGTCTCCTTGAGATAACCAGATTACCTCTTTTGAATCTTCTCCCACATTTTCCTATAAAGCCTCTGTTTGTAAGAAAATAATTCGTTCGTTTTTATATATTGTATGCTCTTCTATATACCTTATGTTACATACATTATAAATAAGGATGTTTTAGCTAGCTATGAAAACTGGTGTAATCCACCATTTGTTACATAAGGAAATGCCTGTACCAAGTCAGGAATATGACAATTGTTTTCCATTCGTTTGATGTGTTTTGAGTTTTTGATTTTGCCATTTGATAAAGGGCTTTCCGTTTTGAATTTTCCTTAGAGTTCGGTATTTTTGTTATTTTACTTTTTAGTTCTCACAAAGAACTCTTTTAACTCCGTCACATATGCACATGCGTGACACAAGCCAACAAACTCCTCAGTGGTTGTCATAAGTCATAATACATAAAATCGTGGAATATTTACCATTAGACGTTTAGCAAACAACAATCAATCAATCAGTCTTAAGTAATGCCTTTATGAAATTGTGGCAATTTTCAGCTTGACAAAATGTATCGACACATCATTGAAAACCATTCAGGTAATACCTAAAGATGTCATTTTTTTAGTCGTCTGTCTCGTCGATGTTTAACACACAAAGTCTTTTATGCGGGTCTGGGTGGAGTTTATATAATAGATATTAATGGGCAAAGAGTGCAGAAAAAAGGGCAATGAATATATAGATATAGAGAAAAAATACCAGAAAAAAATAGAGAAAATGGGGTACTCATATATAAAGAGTAGAAAATAATAGGCTAAAAATAGAGAATAGAGAAAATTTACAAAAAAAAGAATACAGAAATGAAGAACACCCATCCAGATCCTCTTTTATTCATATTACTTTCATGAATGGGAGGTTCATTGAATGTAAATAATTAAATACAAAAAAGGGGGAACTGTAAATGAGTAAATAGTTATAAGTTGCAAAAAACGATATTTTGTGTTACTTTAAAAAAAATCTGTATTTACAGTCGAAGAATCAACATTAAACAACGAACGAATGAAGACAGTAGCAAATACTGCAACTGTAACGGTCGATGATATCTGTGACAGAACGGCGTACGCATATGGTTCATATAACATTATGGTGCAAGATGGTAAGTCATTCGAGTGAGTGAGTGATTAGTGAATGACTGGTTGGTTGAATGGCCTGGAAGACATATTGACTGTATTTGAATAAAAATGCTGTATCTAATAAGTGCAAGTCATCTTCCAGGGTTGATCTACATAATATTGGTTGTGGTTTAAAGAGGAAACTAAGGCCATATTCACCCTGAATTGGTTTCACTCATATCTGCAAAATCAGAAAGTTGTTTAAAAAAACGTCTCGAATTTGAATATAAAAGAGATTAATTTATTTATATACTCAAAACATTTTTCAGCACTTTTACATTTTCCAATAAAGTCAAATTAATATTAAGTGATGAAAATTGCCGTTGAAGGCAATATTGCAGATTTATATAAAAATAAGGAGATTTGGAATGATTGCCAATGAGACAACTAGAAAACCAGAGTTCAAATGAAGTGGATATAAACAATTATAGGTCACCGTACGGCTTTCGACAACCCATCCCGTATAGTCGGCTACAAAAAACTCTAAAATGAAGTATGTGAAACATGTTAAAAATAAATCCATCGAAGGACACATTTAACCAAAATGCATTAAACATAATGTAGTTAAGGATGCCTCATTGTCCTTTTAATAAAGTTTTTTTAGGTTGAAGGTATGATTATTAAAATGTTTGCCAAACTCTATCAAACTATTTTAGTAAAGATTCAAGAACTTTTACAAAATGGTACTTGTGTGAAATATCATCATTAAAACTAGTCCCTACTTCTTTGAAATGGCTAAATAAAAGTACGAAAACATTGACGTACAAACCAAAACGAGACTATTCTAACATATGGCAACTTAATTGTCATGTTTTGGCACCTTAGCTGTCGCAAAAATTACTTCAGTCGTAGTTTGAACTACTTTATTACATGTAAACGATGTCAACGGCGACGACCTGTTTCAAAGAAAATGACATCATATGAAACATCCATCATAAGAGAGAAGCGAAAGATACCAAAGGGACATTCAAACTCATAAGAAGAAAAAACGAAGTGCATGACAACGCCATGGCAAAAATCCAAAAACGAAGTGACAACGAAGTGAAAAACGACCAAAAGACCAACAACAATACTCAAAACACAACATAGAAAACTAAAGACTGAGTAGCACGAACCCCACCAAAAATCGGAGGTGATCTCCGGGGCTATGGAAGGTAAAGGAGATCCTGCTCCAAAGTGATTCAAAATCAGTAGTCTAACTTTTAAAGTCAGTTATCCTTTCTTTCAGCGTACTCTGGATTATTCTCTATTTGCTTCATATTTGAAAAGCCACTTAACTGTAAATGTATTTAATAGTTTTAGTCTGATATTAAAATGCATTTGATGTGATTTCATGGAGTACGGATTCAATCGAAAAATGCATTTTACAAAATTTATATTACACGAATAATTTCAGACATAAGCAAATTAAGTGCCCTTTATTTCTAAACTGACATATTATAGTGTACCGGTACGTTGGCAAACACAAGATATATAAGATGTTTAACAAATACTCAATCAAGCAATCAATCAATTAAAAAGGACCAAATAATAGTTGGATAGTACAGTCAAATTTGGACCATATAGAGTGCATAGTAAGGCCATATTTTGATATCATTGAAACCCTTTGTTGTACCTACTATTTCATTCAAAGAGAAAAAAGAATACCCTCAGAGCAATGTAGGGCTTGCCAGATTGTTAGAAGTCATCCGGTTGTTTTTGCTGGGTTGTTGCCTCATTGAAGTTTTCACCACATATCCTTTTATTAAGAATGAAAATAAAATAATGCAAATATATGATAAAATTTACAAAGCTTTTAATATATGTTTTAGGATACGCATCTGAAGCAGCTTCGACCTGTTCCAGTACCATCCAGGGTGACTGGTCCTATAACTTTACTGACAGTTCAGGGAACACGGCGTGTGATTTTGATTCCTCTGTAGACATCTGTACAGATAAAAGTGCTTTAGCTTTTAATTACACACAATGTCCACAGAATATCATGTATTCAGGTAGGTGCACGAATAAATCTTTTTTAGTAGAAAATGAAAATAACATTTTATAAATTTTCTGCGTTCAAAATGCTTTTCTGGATTTACCTTCATTAGGAATACTCAAACAAAAACAATTGAATGACAAGGATGTAATACAAATTTTAATACTTACGAAGCTATATAACCAAAAGGGGGCTACAAATGAATAACCAAACCAACCTAAGTTCTGCTTTGCCTGAGGGAGTTGGAGCCTTTGTTTCTTGATAATTTCTAGATTTATTAAGAGAAAATAAAAAAGGTGTGTATCTTAAGTCTTAGATACATGATTTTTGTATTAGTTGTTATTGGCTTTGAACTAGCTGTCAGTAACTGCGAGTACTCTTAGATCTTTACTTCGTGTCTTTTGTTTTGTGGGAATGTATAAATACCCTGCCACGTCTGTGTTTTTGTTACTTGATTTTCTGCTTTGTATCGAACTGATGAGTTAAGCCCAATTCGACTGATTTTTATTGTTTGTTCATATGTTGTGTTGTTACACCACTGTCTCAGGTTAACATGTTTAACCCGACCGCATTCTATATGTTTTTGTCCAAAGTTAGGAGCCTGTAATTTTTATTGTCTTGAACATAAATCAGGCCGTTAGTTTTCTCGTTTGATTTTTTTACATTTGTCAGTTCGGAGCCTTTTATAGCTAACTATGCGGTATGGGTTTTGCTCATTGTTGAAGGCCGTACCGTGATCTATAGTTGTGAACTTCTATGCCATTTGGTCTGTGGTGGAGAGTTGTCTCATTGGCAATTGTGCGTTCGATTCCGATCTTAATTTATAAGATTGACAGATCCCCTGCCGATGTATAATGGTTCTCTCACGGACTCCGGCTTCCTTTGCCAATAAAAACGGGTCGCCACAGTAGTACTTAAGGTACACAACCACTTATTCGGGCCCGGTCGGAAAGAATATACAAGAATTAAAGTAGTACATATTTTAAACAAAATAGTTTTGACATGAAATGACTGCCACTTTATTTGAACTTAAGACAAGTAGCCATTAATGCTTGAAATTGCCGAATTTAACATAGAAAGCAATGGGCTATGAATTAGTGGTGTAATACCTTAAAGAGACGTTAATTAGCAATAATCAACCAATCCTTTAAAATGATATTTTGACTGCAATATTTATATATATTTTCTTATACAATATGAGTTCAATGCATATTGCATATTTTATAGCACAAGGAGAACTGTATTGTTTATATTCATCATCTGGAAACTCCATGACATATCAACATGTACTTAATTTGGACACAACAACGGATGAATCTACCACCTACAGAATATCATGTTTGGTAAGATCGCCTCTCACTTTGTTTAATAGCTCAATTTGTTATTTGATACTTTTCATTCAAACGTCTATAAACAATGAATATCCAACCTAAGGCTTAGTGTTATTTTCTTCCAAGTTAACAAACGATGAAATTACTTGTGATCCTGTACAACCAATCACGACGTATTAGTGTACGTATTTGGAAATTCTCAAAAAAATGCATTAGATTCTAAAACATCAAAAATTACAACGACAGTTCAAAGTAATTTCAAATATATTTCATATTAAAAAACTGTTTTGTTGAAGATAAAATATGTCCCTTTATTCAATGCATTATGTAACCATTCAGAAAGCGTTCATTACTGTGTGTATAAGTCACTGTTTTTGTTATTACATGTACGTCAGTTTGGTCTCTGATGCATAGTAGTCTCACTTGCAATCCTACTACATCTCCTTATTTTAATTTAGTTCTTCAAAGATAGCTACATGTAACTGCCGTGAGGGATGGGGCTGTTAAAAAAAAATATTAGGAATTTATTTTGAACTGATCAACAGTACTAACAACTAGTCTTATACATGTAGAAAGATGTGTACTCTGTAAAAAAGGCAACAGAACATACAAACAATTCCCCTCCCACTGTCTAAGGTTGAAGAAACTATATGTTTGCCTCACACCCTTGATCTGTTCATTCAAAAATTTTGTAAAGCCGTTGAATAAAAGCAACAAAACATTGTACTTACTTACTTACTTATAATATATTTACCTTTGAAACTCAGAAAATTCTACTTAGTCATAAGTGTAGAATAATGGAAAAACCCTTTTGTTTCTATTTCTCACACAACGTTTTCTGGAACAGCTTTCGCCCCCTTTTCTCAAAAGCACCTCCTTCCGCCATTGGTTTCAGTGGAATGTCATGTTTTTGTTGTTTTATTCAGGTAATATCATCCGATGGGAATACACGATACATGACACAATATCCAAATAATTGTTATGACGGACAGACTTCAAAATCTGTGTCATCTCCAGGTGCTTTGATAGAATTTTCACTGACAAGTAAGTGTTCATCGCTAACTTAACAAACTGACTTAAATATTTTACATTTATTATTTATATTCTTGATGGACATCCACTACTAAAATCTCGGAGGAGGAATTCGAGAAATGAAACTTCAACGAGACCAATAGCTTTTAATTTAACAACCATCATTTATTGGCTTATATATATAGGAATTCAATAAAATGTGATATTGAACATTTTATGTAAACAGTTCAAAATATTTGAACATATATATATATATATATATATATTTATATATATCTAAACATGTGACAACTTTATAACAGACAATCTCCATCGGACAACACGTGGTTATACAGGGCTAACACCATAATACATATATATAATGCGTCTCAAATTTAGCCCAACAATGTTAGATCTGTAAATTTGCGTTCGAAAATTTTTGTTCTTCCCTCAGCGGGATTCGAACCCTTGCTTCTGTGACATCGTGACAACTCCGCCTGCACTGTGTCCAGCGCCCCAGACCACTCGACCAACTAGGCTTTTTAAAGATAAAGCTTTCGTTAGTCGAGTGATGCCTTTCCTCGTCGGCTTTATTTAGGGCTGTAACACTGTACATGATGTATAATGGCAAGTAGGAAGGTATATCTTTAAGATAAGCTAATAGATGTTTTGTCCGTCGTAAAGGATGATAAAGTAATTACCGTGCAGTCACATCAAATTATAATTTTTTTCATTATTATAATATATATATGTACGTCTAAACATGTGACAATTTCATGACAGACATGTTGTTTGTGCTGTATTTAGACCCCTCTACCAAGAAATTTGTTTTGCATGCACACGTAAAAAAATTGCGGTTTTTATCCAACGCAATCATAGGTTTGAAACTTGTTTTCAATTTAGACTTGTTTATATATACACATGTATATATATATATTTAAATGATAATATTTAAGCAAAGTGGGATACTCAAAATTTAGGAAAGCAACTTTAAAAAATATTTCAGAAAAGAATCGTCATTTCATGTAAGGAGTGAAGGATGAAGATGGTGTAGACGTTAATATGACAAAATGTCTAGCATATTAAAATACGAGATGAATATCTTTACATTTATATGTACATTTTATAGAAAAACAGTAGCGGTATTAAGATTGAGTTTTTGACACCGTGCAATATTTCGTTACGTCAATAAACTAGATAATAAAGTGTGGTTTAATTTGCGTAAGATGATTTTGCTGGTTTTTTTTAAGCAATACCGCAAATCTGCCATTAAGCAGCAAACAAGTCTAAAGAAATACTACTTCAGTTATATATTAATGATTTAATCTTAGACATTGAAAGGATATTTTAAATGTAAAGTTAAAACATTTTACTTGACAACAAAAAAAACATACAATCTGTTCTACTTACCATGTTTTTGTTTATTTTTTCAGGTAGCTGTCGTAAGTGTCATATATTTACATTTAGTTTATTATAAAAGGATAAGTAAATTATTTTGTTGTCGTTTTAACAAAATCGAATGCAATTATTCTTTTTGCATTATCATAACCAATACATTTAAATTCTTTGTTCAATGTATGAGATAAACCAAGCACAAACAGACAGGAAGGGAAAATTCAGAGCATGTAAAGTTATGAAAATAAGAAGATGTGGTATGATTGTCAATAAGACAACTCTCCACCAAAATGGCCAAATGACGTAGAAGTTAACAACTATAGGTCACCGTTCGGCCGTCAACAATGAGCAATGGTATTATAGTTCTTATGTATAACTGTTACAGTATATAATTAAGAAGGAGAACTAACTTTAACCTTTAGTTATTTTTGCCGTGCCGGTTTCCGGGTCCGTTTTTATTATTATATACATGTAAGTTGATATTGTGTTGAGCTTTGAAATGAATATTAACTTTAAAAAGGCTTTTAAGAAAACCCAGTTCAAATCAGCAGTGATTAATTTTTGCTTTTTTGGTGTTGGTTAGTATCATGATAAGCTGATTATGAGCTATAAAGGTGCATCAAAGAATTGATTTAAGAAAAAGAATGGATATGACTAAAATGCAAGCGAGTCAAAAATGGCTTATTTATCAAAGCAACATCGATTATAGTTTACTATTTATCGCTCTCGCTCTTTTAAATTAGCTTACACAGAGGAAGAAAACTTCACGGCGGCAATAGCACTTGGGGTTATTGTTCCATTGATATTGATAATAATCATCGCTGTTATTGGCTACAAACTTTATCAGAACTATAAATTTTACCAAGAAAACAAAGAGGTTGACACGCCAAAGCCAGATCCAAAATACGCAAATGGCGAAATCCGTAATAAACGTATGTGCAAAAGTAACGGTGTTATGATTGACGAGAAAGCACTGATTAACGACACACCAAGAAGTGTTGAAATTCAGATAGAGGAAAGACCTCGACCGGATTCCACGCTAACTACTGGTTCACTTCTGTCGGCAGGAATTAGGCGCGAGTCTTCGATACTTCTCGATATTAACCCGTCAACTCGGGGTACGATGGTTGCAGAGTCTCTTCCGGAAGTAACCGAACCGATCGATTACTCATCTGAATATTCGGACTCCGATGATGATGACCAGGGTAGTGACAATTTTTTGCAATTGCGATCGACTGGTGACTTTCTGGATGGTAAAAGAGACGAAGGTTCTCAAACGCCAAATATTCCTCAAATAGTATTGGACAGTATAAGTCAAGGTGGAGACATTCACCCAGACCTTATATCACCTATTGCCGTTCCTCCTGCAATGACGACTATACCGGAGCATCAGTCTGATGCAACCCAAACAGAACAAGGAGGAACAAACAAGAAGAAAAAGAAACGGGTCAAGAGAACCAAGAGTGCATCTTCTACTAGAAGAGTAAGCTCAGCTTTGAAACGCCGACCTGGTAGCAGCATTAAAAGAAAGGGAACTTCAAAGCAGAAACCGGTACATATATATATGTAATAAAATTTGCGTTTATGTCGTTTTAACTAAACTTAAACTAATATTTTATGTTGTAATGTGATTTGTCTGTTTATATTATATGTTTCGTTTGTTTTGTTTTTCGTTGTCACTTTGTCTCTTCACTATAAATGTTTGACACATGAAAACAACAGTGCATTAAAATTCCCCTGTATGTTAACTTTTAAATGGGAACTTCTGAATAAATTATTTGTACAATTTGTGCCTTTGGAATTTTTGAATGTCAACTTTTTCCAGCATCATAGATACAAAAGATATTATATATATATGTATATTATGAATAATAATGATCTAATTAGATAATTAAAGTTGACCTGTCACATCAACGAAAATCTTTATTTCCTAAACACCGTTACTTGTCTCTTGCATCGAGTTCCACATGTTTTCAATCCTTAGCAATAGGACAATCATTTTTGATTTTCTGGGGCTCCAGGAGAATTTTTAGTGAACGGAATATTTGTTTTCACCTATTACAAGGCAACCTTATCTTGGACAAGATTATTTATTTTCAATCTTATCAGGGAAGTATATAATTTTCACCCCTCCTATGAAAATCAAATGGTAGTCATCTAATAAGTCATGTGCAAGATAGAGAATGCTACAGTATTCGCTAGAATATATTTTAGACAAATGCTGTACAGTTACTATATTTAATTAGACCAAACGACATCTTATTATATATTTTCGGCTTAAAATTAATTTGTTGAAACCATTTTATAAAAATAATGACATATTGACACACTGTACTGGTTTCAATACACCTTATCGCTATTCCCGCTTGACCCGAGAATCTGTCCCGCTCGAACTTTTGACGTCATACAACAATCACTTTTCCATTGTGGCGTCAGACATTTTCTATTATGACGTCAAAATTTTACGGGAACTTGTGTGATGTCCAGTAATGGCGGACAAATAGCGATAAGGTGTATTATCTATTCCGATTTTCTACTTCTGTCGTAAAAGGGAAAACATATAAATTAATGAATTCGAACCGCATGTCTGAATAAATTGAAAGTAAAACCCTGATATTTTATTTTCTAGGATCGCTATGGTAATACTGACGATAAATTAGTCTTTGGTACCCGGATAAATATTTTGAGGATCCGCCCCAAATCATTCAGGGTAGGTCACGCACTCACTCTACTAACACGCGTTGCGGCTTCCTATATTAACATTTGTAACATTCTTTATCGTTTCGATTTATTTTTCTAAAAAATACTTAAAAATAAAGTGTGAAATATTCAACTGCAAAAAATATATTGTATTTATTTCATAAACGAAGTAAAGTGATTAAGCAACTGTGCAGTCTCACACATGTTCGCCTCAATATACATATATATCTTTATACCATTAATAATGCTATTCTTCTTATACGTGATAAGTAAAATGATTTTGCATCCTTACATGTAATAGTAACATACTGTTTATTTCCTATGTAAAAAATAAGTTGTGAAGAGACATTCGATTTATTATCTTACAAATTCACTTAAGTAGATGGAGTATAATTTTTTATAATTTTTTTCAAAGTGGGAGGGGGAATGATTTACGAGATTATCAATTATTCAGATGTGATATTGTGATAAATTTGGCATTCGCTCAAGTAATCTAAATGAACATTTTGATAATATCACCAGGCAAAGTTAAGCTAAAGTGAAAAGGACTGTTTTAGACGAGTTCGGGTTTTTTTCACAAATTCTTTCTTCACTTTCTTAGGTAAATAACTTTGGCCTACTGGATAAAAGTTAATAAAAAAAAGAATTTCGAAGGCAATATACATTCGTTTTTATATTGGGGTTTTAACTTTAGTTTAAACTTAATCCCTTATCATCATAAGTTAATTCTTTAACATACTTAATCTTCAAGATATTTGTAATCTTGTTAAATCAGTGTAAGTAATAGATGTTAAATCAGTACATGTGATAGATATCTATAGAATGTATTATTTGAGAATTATAGAGTTGTTTATTATAAATAAATGAATTCTAACCTAGGTAACCTTATTTGATCTTAACAACTGGATAAAACAAAATATATTCTCCAATTTTTGTAAATACATTTTATTTAGCTGTTCACAACAATGGTATGTCGGTGATTTGGCTAGAAAGTACATGTAGGTATGCTACATTGAAACTCAAGTACTCGCCCTGGACCAATATTAAGTGAAAACATTGACAAAAAAATTAGCAGATACACTAGAATTATTAATCCAAGCTTAGTTGACAGGTGCTGCTCACAATGTACCAGTCTTGAACACCTTTGTTCATCCTATGTTTTATGGGGTTCGTATTGCTCTGGTCTTATGAGGGGGTGGACAGCTTTTGAGGGAGGTAGGGGTGGGAGACAAAAAAAAAGATTCTAAAAGTGGGAGGTGGGAGGTGGGAGAAGGGTACCCCCCTGTCCACCCTCTAGTCTCATGTTTATATGTGTTTTTTAGGGTTTTATGTTTCGCCAATAGAAAAAAGTCATTTTCATTGCCAAGTTATCATGTATGGAAAATTAGCATAATAGCATAGAAAAGATTTTCCACCCGATGACAGGAATAAACTATTTTTCTAACTGACCGGAAGAATAGGCACTGCCTAAAAATATCAATCATGCTGAAAACTACAAATTGAAGTCAACTAGTGCTTTGGTAAAATAAGATTACCTACCGACCCAATCCTTAGTCGTGATTAATCCAAATCGTCATGTATTTAATTCCTCAATAATACAGACGATTTAAAAGTTATGTCATTATCCCCCTCTTTTTCTAACTTAGCTAACATCATTAGCAACATTGCATTTGTTGGTAAAAATCTCTAAACGGTAAAGACATGCAATGCAATATATCACACTATGGAATTCTTTATCTTTTTGGGTTGTACGGTAAGATCTATTTATTTACTTATCTTTTTTATATTTACTTATCTATTTGTTTACTTATTTGTTTATTTATTTGTTTATTTCTTTAAGTTAGAGAAGAAATGTTCAGTAAAAATTTGAATATTTTTTTCTTTCTTTCTTTCTTTGCTTATGGTAATGTAGAGATTTCAGTGAAAAGTTTGTCAGTAAGAAGACATCCCTTTCTTTTAAGCACAATAAAGGAAAATTCGACTTCATGATCTTTAAGTGTAATAACCATATACATTTAAAATATGAAGGAAAACAGATATTTATGATTTTTTTAATGTAAAGCTTACCGGATTGGGCTGTCCTCATGGCAAGCTACATTTATACAAGAATAAGGAGATCTCAGTGGAATGATTGCCAATGAGACAACTATCCACCAGAGTTCAAATGAAGTGGGTGTAAGCAATGATAGGCCACCGTACGGCCTTCAACAATGAGAAAACCCATACCGTATAGTCGTATAGTTGTCTTAATATTTTATTATATTAGTGTTTCATTGTCTTAGTTTCTATAAATTGTTTGTATTTTGTGTTTCCTCAGAAAAAGAAGCAGGTTAATCCACTAATTACTGATGAAGATTGCCCAATTGATCCTAGTTTAAACGACCTAGATATGAGTCAAAATGATCAAATCATTGTACATTCAAATGGCACCAACAATGATAACAACACTACAGAAACTGGGGAGGAAAAAGAAATAGACGACAACACAACAGATGATACATTGAATTCAAATCCAAGCAAGTCTAACTTAAAACGAAACGAAAGTATGCTGAGGGAGAAAATATATAGACATACAAATAGGGATATCCCGTCTTCGAAAAGGAAAAAGAAACAACCAAAACTTCGACATCCTCTTGAACAAAAGAAGGTATTGAGGTTAAACATAAATACATTACATGTATGTTTCATTATAATACGTTATTTTGATTGGCTAACAACAATCTCGCGTCATTCTGAAATTATCCTTCATTTCAATATGAAATGTAACATTCGTGATGACACGAGCTTCCACAATAAAGTGCATAGGTAAATAAAAGAAAAACTTGAAAGAAATCGTGTTTTCATGATCATAGCAAAAAAATGTAATTATAAGTATTGAATGCTTCTTTTAGTAATTTTATAGGGTTGTAAAAGCGTTGACCGTGCGCACATTTTTAGAATAAAGCGGTTCCGCGCTTCATACAAAATGTACTTCGGTCAACGATTTTACACCCCAATTAATTTACAAAAACATGCATTCAATTCTTAAATGAAATCTTATATTTATATGCAATTTACTGTATAAAGCTATATAGTGTAAACTTGTTACACGTTTATTAACGTATGAACATGACCAAATAGAGATGTGAGGTTATACGTCAATTAGACAACAACCACAAGACAAAGAAGGTACCTACAAGTAAACATACGGGTTTCAACAATAAACAAGAGCTACTTCACTTTTAAATTTAGTCCAGAAAAGCTAGGAATAAATTTAACAACGACTTAAATGATTTGCCATCAAAACTGTATTTTCTAAATGACATTTAAGTAATTAAACCTTTAAAGTTGTTTTTATTGGTGTCTCTGTATTGATAAGCAAAAGGAGCATAAGTGTTTCTCGTTTCTCGTTTTTTATATAGATTAGACCGTTGGTTTTCCCGTTTGAATGGTTTTACACTAGTAATTTTTGGGGCCCTTTATAGCTTGCTGTTCGGTGTGAGCCAAGGCTCCGTGTTGAAGACCGTACTTTGACCTTTAATGGTTAACTTTTATAAATTTTGACTTGGATGGAGAGTTGTCTCATTGGCACTCATACCACATCTTCTTATATCTATAGACAGCATAAATTTTCACTTGAGAGCAGACAATTGGCGTAAGGCATACATTTTGTAGGCGACTGATTAAATCTGATTATATCCTTATTTTATGAATTATATGCATTTAAGAAATCTGTAGTAATGCCAAATTTCAGAAATTTATAACACGATTTCAATTAATTTCGGTTTTCTTTGCAAACGATCGAAATACCATATGATTAGTGTATTTAGGTTGATTGATTGTTTATCTGAGTTGCAATGCTATGTTCCGGTCTTTTTGTTGTTCCTTCTGTCTGTCTCGTATCATGCTTAAATTTTTATTTACGGTAGCTTACGATAAAGTTGTTGTAACATAACTTGAAAATTAGTTCTAAAGTTAATTATGATGTAAATTTCTTTAAATTTATACAAAATTAGGTTAGGCTCCATATTTTGCGATTCGTTGACTACGGAAATGTCATAGTGCTAGCGGGTCATGGTATCATATGGACACTTTTTATTTTGTAGTAACATTTAACCGCAGTCTTACTTTTTTATAACAGGGAGACCAAGAACCTCTGTCCGACTCTTGGTTTAAACATAGGAGCACTTCTGTATCTAGAACGCACAATACCTCAGATAAAAAAGACGAAACTGATGGTGAAGGGGTGAGTTTTATAATAATCAGATATATGAGTCCTCTTTATATTGAGAACAGAAATCATCAGCTATCTGTATCACATATTTGTCTTGTGTGTTACGGTTGTTGAGTAGTAGCAAGTTATGTAGTAGAGGCTTGTTTTTTAAGGAAGAGATTTTATTTTAAGATAAACCAATGGACATGAAAGCATATCTTACTTTGAACGCATTGAAGGCTTGTCCAGTGAAAGTTTCAATTAAAAAATTAATACAAATAGCAATTTATAGACCAGTTGTTAAAGGATTGGACACCAGAGAGGGTACATAATATCTTAAGCCTCTCCGTGTGTACGAACGATTTTAAAGTCCAAGTGTACCCCTTTCAATTGCTTTTTGGTGTTATAAAGAGGTGTTTCAACTCATCTTTGATTGAAACAAATGGAAGAAAACAAGGATAAAATTGTTTTGTCACATAAATGCATAAAAGCACCGAGTGTATTTTGTTATACTACTGCAATACTAAGTCGATGATTTTGATTTTTAGGACTTATCTGAGTTTGAAAGTATAATTTGGAATAGGTGAGACTTGCACTGCATTTGACACGATATATATTTCAAACGATATAGATAAACCGACATTGAGAACCTTTCTTGTATGGAATATATTATAAATTGTTTCAGATAGGCAATAATGTGGACAGATTTTGAAAAAATAAAAATAATACATCTCTGTTTAAATTTCGCTTAATGGTACAGTTAAGCAACATAACCAACAATACAACCTCTAGGACTAGCAAAACAAACACACCGACTAACTAAAAAAATCCTCTGACTAACAATTAATACAGCCCATACGACTAACAATACAGCCCCTCCGACTAACAGTACAAGTCCTTCCGACTAACAGTACAAGCCTAATTTCATGATACTACAACCACTGTACTGTGGAAATACAGTTTTGAGTTTAACCATTATTGGTCAACTAGTATAATGTTGCTAAGAGAGAGAGTCTGTCTAATTGCTTTATATATCGTGTCAAATCATGTTTTGCACAGAGAGCTTCACCATTTCCAAATGAATTGTTTTGAACGTTTATTTAATAGTCACGTATTTAGTAAATAAGACTTTGTATTGTAATAGTAAACACAATAACCGAAATACACAATATTAAACACGAAAGTCAAAAGTATTATTTTTTTTCACCATGCAAAAACATAACCAAGTCGGCTTCTTTATAAACGTATTTCAACAAAATGCTTCAATTTTACCTATTTTTTATATGAAATATCACAATTTTCAGTAGAGGTTTGAAGAAACTTCAACTTATTCAATACTTAAGATATTCCGAGAACCAAAAAACAAACATTCAATTCAATTCAAACGAAACGTCTTTAGTTATATACAGCGGTGTTGTTGCTGAACACTATCAGAAGTAATAGCTCCTAATAAATATAGAATATTAATAAATCATTTAACAATAACCGTATTTTGGGTTTAAGGTATTTTTTTTTTTTTGCAAATGATTATATGAACAATTGTATGATTCTGAAACACTGAAATTGTTTACATTTTTGGTTTAATTTTACACATGAGATATATTTGTAAATAAACGTACATTTGGTTGTTTTTTTATTTTAAATAATCTTGAAAATGACAAAAAAAAATATACAGTCGTATGTTTCTCGTGATTCGTCAATTTTGAGCCTTTGCTGTTCCTGCATGCAACTTGATCCGTTCACTTTCTTACGGATGAATATTTTTATGAACTCTATAATTGATTAAAATTATTTCTATTCAATTTTCTCTTTTTCAAAACCCCTTAAATTTGCAGCCACAAAGTTGACATTGCTAGATATTAGGAGTTGCTTACTGTCACTGCTTTTTTTCTCTCATTCAGTTCACTTTTCACATAGCACATGATATCTCAATCTTTGATCTGAGTTTACTTTAATGTGTAGTGACTTTATTTAACAAAACTTCTTTCCACTAAATGCGTTTAACCTTATTTTAACTATTTTTTTTTTCAAAATAGAGATTAATTTTAAGTTTCGAGCTGTAAAAAGTTTATAATAAGTTATGAAGACTGCATTTCATCTTTGCTTTGAAATTAAAGAATGTTTTGTTCAAACTTAAAGCATTATATTTAAAAAATGTATCATAAAAATCAAGAACTTTAAATTCATTTTACTCACTCCTCATTATATTTTGGATAATAATTTTACGAATTGTAAATTTTATAAATACTCAAATTTGTGGTCTTTATACATAAAGGTCTGATAGACTCCAAGCGTCTGCTCCATTTGACACTAGAGGATTGTTTTCTGGAAGGTAGGTTGTGGTCTATCCTATTCTTTTATAAACAAACAAACAATACGTGCATAATACAAGGAGATGCGTTTTGATAGCCAATGAGACATATAGCAATAAAGACCAAAAGGAAAGAATATGATATATTTATACAAGTAACCGTAAGCCCTAAAGGTACATACATGTATTGTAAAGATTGATATGTATGCTCTTCTGTATTTTTAAAGTTATGGTGTATTTATTCTTGGGATAACTTCTCTTATGTGTACCACATCATTCTCTCAATTTTAGGCCAGTTTGTATACTAAAATTTTCATAAGACGCACACCACCTATTCTTGGCCCTCAGTACTAGTCCTATCCACGTTAAATTTTTCACTTCAAAACATTTTATGGAAGCGGGATCAATATACCTGTATTTATACATCAGACCGTTCTGCACTGGTTACCGGTGAATGCCCTCAATTTTAGAATTCATTCATACATTTTTGTATTATTCAAAATTATCAGTAAATTGTGTGTTCTACAGGATCATCATTCCTTCACCTTTCATCTGATATCTTAATTACTAAAATATATGCTACATAGTTTAAGATTTTCCCTTATGCGTAGGAACTATTTTGTTTTAAATATGAACTACTTTCCAGTATGTTCTTTTTTTACCGGGCCCGATTAGGAGGTGTTACATCTTACAAAGTCTATCCAAATTATTTTTGCAAAGAATTCCGCTCAAGCCGGTGCTAGGAGCCGTCTTAAACTTTGCAGTGAGGTGAGAGCTTTTTTGCTCCGTGTTGAAGACCTCACTGTGACTTTGAGATGAAGAACTGCAATAAAAGCGCCGTTCCTTTGCTTTTTGTGTGTTTTTTGCTGTGCATGAACTGATTTTGTGTCATGGATGGCTACCATATATCCTTTGTTTTTCTATTATGTAAGTGCATGGATGAATGAAAGATTAGATAGGCAATCGGGTGTTGTTTAAGTATACGTACAAAACATGTAGGTTAATTCATTGGTCGAAACATTCTTTCTCTGGAGACCTTTGTATGTGAGAGTGTTATATGGGGTGGATGTTCAAATGCTTATTTACAGATGCAGCGTGTTTCGATTCGGTTCATCTACTGTTGACAGAATTACGATTCTCATTATAAAAGTATGATACAGTATATGACCGCAGCATGACACAAAAAAAATAAATAAATATGAATGATTGTTCCAGTAAATAGTCTGGCCTGTTTTGATTGAGTTGAAAATTGTTATGTAGTTGTAACAATTAAAAATTCAGTCTGTGTTTTTGATCAGCCAGAATTTCTGTATTATCATAATATAATATATATTCACGTCTTAAAATGTATTTGGTTTTTGCTATACTGTCATGTATAGTTCTCAAATAGGTAGTTTGTACTTTTTAAAACCAATCTACAGATAAAATTCACAAAATAATTAAGTTCATTTAAAAGCCAATATATACATGCCTTGATTTCCGTATATTTGTTGGTTTGAATAATAGAACCGTCTAAAGGTGAAAAAGAGCGACGGATAACATCAAACATGGCTCAAATTGAGTTATATCTAGTTTACCATAAAAAAATCTTCATGAGAAATAACTAAAATATAAAAGATAGCTTTAAATGTGAGAAAGGAAAGATTTTTAGTTTGAAAAATTTTTATGTTTCTTTTCCGGACCGTCCGACGTCCTTAACTAGTACAATATTTATTTTAAGTTTGGTGATATACATAACTTTCTATAGGATTAATATTGACTGACCAGACTTAAACATAAACTAGGAAAATTAGTAAAATTACACATAATTGCATTTTCTTTAAGCATATATCTCACCAAGACAGTGCATTGTATTGATAGCTTTAAATAGATATTCATACAACATAATATACCAAAAACTATTTAAAAGACATTTTCTAAAAATAAAAAAAATCGTATTTTTCGAGAAAATCCCTTAAACGTCTGAACTGTTTCCACCAACAATCAGAATGTTTATTTACTACAAGTGTTTGTATTGCATTACTTAATCCTCTTAATTTCCCATAATGTATTATCGCCTTAGCTTATTCAAAGATATTAATATGGATAATGGCTACACGAGTTATTTTTAAATTGGACAATTAAAACTGAAAAATTAATACGAATAAAATTACAATGAGAACGGTTTGAAAATATATAAATGAGTTTTAATTGCTCGATACGACAGACGCCTTAAGTTTATTTTCACCGTCGACATCCTATTTAATATAGGACAGCATTCTATGAAGTATTTTGATATGGGTGTGGAGTTGGGGAGGGGGAGGGGGAGGGGGGGTAATCAACTTTAAAGATCTTACTACTCCATAATAAATATATTGATAGTCTTCTTTTGTAAGTGAAGAGTGGCCCTAGAGGGAGGGGGTTTTACTGTTTTTCCGTCGAAGGTTAAGTAAATGGATTAATTTCATGTTGGTCACTGGTGAACAAGTCCAAAATGTTTTTTCTGTGTAATATTTGTAGTTTTAGTTTAGTTTTCATTTAATTTTTACCAGGTGGAATTACTTCTGCAGGTATTTAGCATTGTTTAGAAATATAGTGACCAAAACATATGGAAGGCTTCTTCACACGAAACTGATAAATTGATAAGGTTTTGCTTAACTTCCAGTTGCAAATACTTCATTCATAATCAAAACGATAATGAATGAACAAAAAACAGGGTGAGAATTTCCACTGTCACTGGATGATGAGGTTATTTTAGATCGGGTAAGATAAATTTTTTTTGTTAAAGGCCTCTTACGGACCCCTTTTCTAAGAGTTGTTGAATAAGATCTATAACACAGAAAGCGTGATATTCCCCCTACACGAGTCATCCGATTTCACGTCCCCATTCCAAACAGACGTGGTAGCGTATTCCAAAATATTACTTGCGCAAAAATATACCACAAATTGACAAATTTCCAGAGATCGTTATTGTTGTGTTCAATTTGAGTAACCCATAGCCGTTTATATACCGATGAAGCAATTCAGTACCACTATCTTTCTATATAGCTACCGGTACATGTATTTAGGGGCGGATCCAGGATTTTTGAAAGAGGAGTAATTCCTTAAGGCTGTTCGCTCCTCTTGTTTTTGAATTTTTGCCAGATTTTTGGAATCCTCTGGTTTTATCCATGTTTTGCCATTAAAAAATTTTGTCCACTAACTCCTACTTTTTTCATAATTTTATTACATAAAAAGCCATATTTGAAAATCTTCCAAAATCCTTGTTATTGTTTCATAGTTTTTAAAAGAGAAAAGCGGACAATGTTAAATGTATGAAAAATCTAGAGAGAATCATTTCCCGCCAAATTTTCAGTTGCTTATATCTCGAAAACAAGCACACGGACCCTTCATTTTTTTCTGCTTTTTAGTTCCTCTATTTATGTACTATCAATTTATAACAGTCTCTTAAAAAGCTTGTTATTTTGAAGTAGAGTAGCGAACATCCTTAAAACGGATTATATGCCAAATCTTTTTGGAAGATTTTATGCTAAATATCATATAAATCGTGAAAAGCATGATATAATAAATTTTATTGGCGATCCGCCATTGTGTATATGTCATATTTTCTTTTTCAGCAAGTATCACCTGAAGTAGATGAGTACGGGAACCTGTTACCGCAAAGTGATAATGACTCCTTAGAACAAAAACTACCCTTAACGCAGCAAAAACCATTCATGAATCCTAAAGCGGAGACAACGGAGGAAGTGTTCGAAAAAATTAAAACCATGTGGCAATTTGGAAATCGGTGGCTTGGAAATACGTATATTGCTCACAGTCCTAAATAGTTTATGCATATAGTAAGGAACTGAAGAATTATGAGATACATCATCCATTTCGGATATTTCATGTCATTGTGAACGTTTTTTAATGACCTTTTGATTTTTCTATCCTCATTTTTAAACGCGTTATGTTTTGTTACCAGTTGAAAAGTTTGTTGTCATTTGAACAAGAACTTTTTCTTGAGTTGCTAATCAGATATACATGTACCATTTACTATGATTGATCGTGCTTTTCTATTTGAACACTTAATCATCCTAACTAAAATATAATGTTTATAAAATTCAGTCTTTTTAAACTGCAAGTGAACGAGTTGTTTTTACAATAGACATTGTTCGTCAAATTTGAATTATGATTGTGTACTATATACATTTTATTTTATTCATTTCATGTTTTACTTGTAATGCTTTAGTTTAACCTGGTTTGAAATAAACTACATACATGATAGATATGCTCATTTGTCATTATCACTGTCATGTCGCACAAAAGCATCAACTGTTTGGTAAACATGGTAAATTTGATGAATCTTTTTTTTTCTTCTTTCTTATTCTATTAATGTAGTCTTATATTATGCTATGGAACCGATACGGATGTTATTTATTACTAAGATTATTGTAAACAGCTTGTTTTCCATTGTGAAGAGAACAATTAGATTCAGTGCAAAAAATTCGAAGTAAGCTACCAAATGTGTTTTTACAATATAGTTATTATGTTGTGCATGCAACCAAAGAACAATAACTGGATTATGTTTGAAAAGTGGCCACGTTAATAAGTTCATAACTTTTAATAGTTAAGTTAATATCAATATCAAAGATGCTCTCTCGGGTATAATCGTCATGTTATGTCCTTATCGAACCCAAATGCGATAAAATATTTCTACTTAGACAATGGAATTAAATTATTTTTGAACTTATGAATTTTATCTGAAAGCTTTTACATGTACCAAGTTAATAGTTATTTCATTAATAAAATATAGATATATGCGTCTTTCAATGTTATAAATATATTTGTTTCCAAATGTATGACTGCATTCCTGAACACTTTTTTTGGCGATTCAAATTTGCAAAAATTCCTTAATATATATATGATAATATCGTTATAAAGTTGATATGGCCGAAGCACTTTTTTTGGATTTACCTATGCCTTCATCAAGAACGCTCAAACCAAAACATTTGAAAACCAATGATGCATTGAGTATATTAAAAGATGATGAGCTATATAACCAAAAGGAACGTAATCAATATTGTCAAATCATTTTAAGGTCAACTCGATTGCTCGCTTATCAAAATCACGAATGTGTTTTGGGATATCGTTAAGATGAAATCGCTTTTTATAGTTACAAAAATGGTAATTTGTCCAAATTTAGCTTTAAGTTTTTACATAGAAACAGAAAGATCAATGAATCTTGTTTTTTCTTTTCTTCTATTTATTGTATCTTTATTCATTTTGCAAGAAGTTCTCACTCCATGTAGAAAAATAAATACAAATTTAATGTATGAAATTATATCCTTTCCTTTTTAGCTAAATCTGTAATATTCTCTGTCTAGATTTATTATTATTATTTCAATAATGTGAAGAAAACACAAGAAATGAGAATTATTTTTTCTTTATCGTTATATTTTTAGTGATGTAAATATCCTTGTAAATATTTGTTAAGTGTTAAACCTATATCCCAAGTGGGAGTGCGGAGGATCATACCTGTAAAGAACAGAACAGATATATGTATGTGCTGCTTTTAATCAGTATTATAAATACAAGTTTCAGAAGGTGCATTTGCAAATTTCGCACATACAAACTCAAACAGATCGATATGGATACATTTTGGTAATTTCATTAAATCAAACCTCTGTGTTCATTTCTCTGATTCCGATAGTTCTTATAGTATAACGTTGTGTTTAGGATTGTCGAGGCGGGGGAAAGTATCCAAGTTGCAGACATAGTACACGACTCGAAGGGTCCAATATTGTCACTTTATCGTAAGCCAAAAAGACAAGTATATTCTTGCCAAAAGGGGGCCGTTGGCCGAGTGGTCTAAGTAGTCGAGCTACTGTATCACTAGCCTGTCAACACTGAGGTTGTGAGTTCAAATCCCGCACTTGACAGGTGCACTCGGCTCCAATCTAAATTGACTAGGAATGTTAGTTTTCCGTTTTCCTACCAAGGTCGGTAGTTCTCTCCAGTTTCTTCCGCCAATAAAAACTGACAGCCACGAAATAGCGCAATAGTAATGAAAGTGGCGTTAAACATCAATCAATTAATCAATCAATCTTCCCAAAAGTCAGGCTTCTGCAGCTGTAATTAACATACAGTCTGGAGCCTGTAATTTAGTAGTTGTTGATGGCTTATGTCTGTCATTTTTGTTTTTTCATCAATTGCATTGTTTAAAATTAGGCCGTTAGTTTTCTCGTTTGAATGGTTCACTTTTTTTCATGTCGGAGCCTTTTATAGCAAACTATATGTTGAAGTTCGTACGGTGACCTATGATTGCTTATAACAACGTCATTTGATCCCTTGTGGAAAGCACAATTTGTTTAGATGCACTTCGTGCTAAAAATTTGTTCATGATCAACCCTATAAAAGCATTCAATTCTTATAATTACATTTTTATGCTACAACCAAGAAGTTATATACATTAAGCTTTTAGTTTGTTTTCCTATGCATTGCTGTGATATTATCATAGGAAGCATGTGCAGTTATAAATATTGTATTTTATTAATCGGGTTGAACGGGTGTCACATGTGGAGCAAAATCTACTTACCCTTCAAGAGCACCTGAGATCATCCCCGGTTTTTTGTGGGGTTCGCGTTGCTCAGTCTTTAGTTTTCTATCTTGTGTTTTGTGTACTGTTGTTTTCTTTTTATATGCGATACCTCGTTCTTCGTGAGTCACACGCGTGCTGTACGTTTAACAAGCGTGTACACACTGAACTTTCTCGCATGTGTAATAGAGTATGACTTTATGTTGAACGCCTTTATGATCAAGGTCTTAATATAGGTATAACAGAAATATAACATTATCAATAATCCATGATAAAAAGTTCAATGTCGGACAAAACCTGTCACATGGACACGTACACTTTTATTACAACCATTTTATGGGTACAGTATATATATATATTACTTTTAGACACTCTCACGAACCAGGAAATTGAGGTCTAGGTCGAATGAACCATATAAGACGGTCATATACATCATAAAATCATGCCAGACACCAAATATAGTTAGACAAAAAATATAGTTGAGAACTATAATAATTGCTTTTGGTATCAGGGAGATGAAAACTGCCCGTTGACCAACGAACCATGGAAATGAGAACAAGGTCAGTTGAACTCAGTCGCCCGCAGATATCTACAATCGTTCTATCCATCCACTGTAGTTCACCTATTACTTATAGCATCTGGAAAACAGTCATATGCATAATCAGGAAAAAATCACGTTGACAAATGAACCATGACAATGAGGTCAATGTCAGATAAACCCTGTTAATCAACAAGTGCACCTTACAATCATTCTTGTAAAATATTGATGAGCCATTGCCTATAGTATCTGAAAAAGGGACATAATCACAACAACTTAACTTTACTTATGAACCAAGAAAGTGAGGTCAAATGAATCATATAAGACGAACATATATACCAAAACCACAAGCAAAACACATAAAACATAATAGGCAAATACTAAGTATAGTTATCCTTTTACATAACTTTTAAAATCTCATGCTATAAAAAAAAACCAGACTGAACAATGAAAAAGAGATCAAGAGCAACAGGCATATGCGCTGTCTTCAGGACATAAGGCATATTCAAACAGAATGTGAAGAACACCGTTATTTCACCTGCTTAAATATCAAGATTTATATACATAGACCTACCACCACGATTGGAATAGCATTATTCTTTTAGGTCGCATTCTGCGATACTCGTCACAGGCAAGACAAAAAACTAGCATTCCGATGTTTTGCATTCTGAGATATTTGTCACAGACAAAAAAAAAATTCAAATGCATTTTATGTTTCAGAAAATTAAAAAAAACTTTACTTGATTTTGCTGTGCCCTTTTTGTTTGTTCCTGCAGAAGGTAGCAAAATTAACATCGACTCCTTATTTTTTTATATACATAACCATTAATAATCAGACTGTAGCCGGATTATGCCACCCTTTGTATCTGAATCTACCAACTTTAAGCACAGTAATAGCCAAACTTATAAAAGTTTCAAATCCCCAAGGGTGACTGGGGAAAAGAAATATGGTATAGTAAAACCCTTGCCAAAGTGGAGCGTCCGTTTTGGCTATACAGGATGAACAAGTACGCAGCCACGTCCGGTCAGAAAGGGGACGTTAAATCCGATGTCTCGTGTAAAGAGAGCTCCACGCTCTCTGCACATAAAGAATCCTTGCAACAACTCTTTGAGGGGTCCAAAGGTGGCCTGTTGCAAGGCTAAATTTCTGTCCCAATCCAATTGTCCCCTCATTTTCCAGTGACAGTCCAAATATCCCCGACCTTCATCCCGGACGGTCTTTATCACAGGACTACCTATTGTATGTGTTGTTCATTTGTTCTCGTCCTGAACATGCATGAAATATTTGCCACTGGACGTTAAGCAACCAACAATCAATCAATATAAAGTTTCAATAACTCCGACTAAATTTGTATCAACAATCTTTCCTCCTGCTACTTATCGGGCTAAAATTCAGTATACGAGTTTGTAATCCAGTGGTTCATGTCTGATAAATAAATCCATTTTTTTCAAAAGAGGGACGAAAGATACCAGAGGGACAGTCAAACTCATAGATCGCAAACAAACTGACAACGCCATGGCCAAAAATAAATAGACAAACAAACAAATAATAGTACAGATGACACAACATAGAAAACTAAAGACTAAGCAACACGAACCCCACCAAAAACTGGGGGTGATCTCAGGTGCTCCGGAAGGGTAAGCAGATCCTGCTCCACATGTGGCACCCGTCGTGCTGCTTCAACATGTCAGGGTCTTTTATTATAACAGCTGACTATACGGTATGGGTTTTTCTCTTTGTTGAAAGCCGTACGCTTAACTATAATTGCTTAATATAATATAGTTGTTTTATTGGAAATCATACCACGTCTCCTTATATATCTATTATATATTCTGTATATACACATTCATAATCAGACTGTGGCCAGATCATGCCACCCCTTAATTTTATCTGAATTTATCAACTTTAATCACCGTAATAGCCAAACTAATACAGTTCATATAATTCGACTTAATGTGTATCAACATTCCTTTCCTCCTGCTACTTCTCGGGCTCCGGAACAATTTAAACATACATGTGGATACATGTATTCGATATATGAATTCTTTTCATATCTTTATAGGTTTTTACAGAATTCTTATATATATATATGTATTTACTTTTCAAATTTTTGACAATTATTCTTTTAAAGAAAGCTTTTAACTACTAGTAAGCTATTTTTCATTATTAATGTTCGTCATATCTATTTCAACTTAATCAGTATATACTTTGGAAAATATTGACAGAAAATCTTAATTTGCATTGAATTTCACAAATTTTCCATGTTTCCTGTTTCCGGAGATATCATGATAAAAATCTTAGTCTTAAAATAGTAATTTAAGGTCATCAAATTTGTTTCCGTATACAATCAGGATTGTTATCTTTAAAATAGAGCTATATTTGACAATCTTTGACAAATTTTCTTTTTTCGGAGCTTTTATGATAAAATCTTAGTTTTTGTCTTAAAATACAAATTTTTGGTAATGAAGTTTTTATCAGTTTCATATTACAATCATGTGTGTGATGCTTCGAATAGAGTTTTATTCTAGTAAAAGATGCTGCTAATTTTAAAATGCTATATTATAGTATATCAAGTAGAATGACATCCTAGACACAAAAACACTAATACGTAGTTTCTATTGCAAGTTTATTTGTGTTTAAGCTTTTCCTGCATAAATTGATTTGATAATAAGTCATAAAGTGATCGAAAAGTAAACGATTTTCCAGGGGAAAATATGAAAGCAAAATATTTCAACAATAAACTGTCGTCGCAAAATAATCTCCAAACTTAACCCAATTATAATACAACTGCATACCAACTATTATCGATTTAACATTAGTGGTTCCCCTTTAACTGACATTATCACAAATTTCTCACAAAGTTTCGCCTCAACGTCTTCGAAGAGAAGGTGCAGAAACGATTACTCGTGGTTAGATTTTGCTATTAAAAACATATTATAAGATATTATAGATTATGTAGTCTGGATTGTTGCTTGAACTGTTGTACGTTTATGTGAGGTCTTCTTGAATTATTCGAATGGAATATTTATGCCCGAATATTGCCCGTCTTAACATCGTTGAAAAACTTAGAAATTGTGAATCTTTACTGCTTTTAAATTCGCATTCTTTTTTTGGTGATATGTTTTTTCTTTAACTTCTCTGTATTAGTTTCATATACATACGGATAATTGATGTGTTCCTATTTGCCAATTTTTAACGATTTTCACATAAAACTCCAGTAGTCTGTTATACTCATTTTTAGTTTATTTTATAGGAAAATGATTACATTATATTAGAACTCAGTATTAATTTCCCTGACCTCAATGAATTCCATGAATCTGCACTTAGAACAACTATTAAAATTCCTAAACTTACGACACACTATACATCATACAAGTAGAGTCTTTACATTGTGACACGGCTAAAGATGCTGGCTGTGATTATGCTGGATGTTTTGTCAAAAAAGACATGTCAACTCTAATAGGCCCCATGTTTTCTTACTAGAAGCAGACAATACTTTGCTCTTAACCTTACAAATGTCTAGTGTTTATGGAGATGTAGCAAATACCACATTTAAGGGGATCTGATGAGATTTACAGAAAATAGAATAATGGCCAAACAAATAATGAATAGATAAAAATGAGCAAAAAAACTAAAGTCTAAAGAATAACTTGGGAAAATAAAAGAACTAGGTGATTCAATACTGATTACAGAAATGAATTATGTAGAGGATAAATATATCATATAATTACAGAACAAAATAATAGTAAAATCTTTTTAAAGAGAATGTTACAGAATAGGCATCATTTTTAAAGATAATGATAAATGCCCTCAAAATTTAAAGAATACATAAATTAAGGACCCTCCATCCTTTTGATTGAATTGGATGAAAACCAAAAAACAAACAACGCACTTGATGTGTGCACGTTACTACTAGACTCAGCTCAATCAATTAAATAATAAGTTGAGAATATAATAAAAGGACAAATGAAGAAATTCAACATTATATAGATTTACTGTTTATTCACTGTATAGCAGCCAGTAATATGTCTATTATAACAAAAAAACAAATTTCTCCTATTCACAGTATTGTGACAAATATGTGAATAACCAGTCTTGTACTGGGCAGCAGATATTCAAACCAATAAAAATACCCGAATCATCAATTATGTGTAATTTGCATACTGACGGACCCTTTAACGGCGCACCCGTTATCACAACGTTTACAGAAACGTTTCTGAATACAACGTAAATGGTTAACGGGTGCTTTATGAAATATAGCCCAATATCTTTTTTACACTCGAGGCAAATATTAATTACGAAACTCATTAAGACGATATAAAGCAACATTTCTGACCATAAGACAGGTCCGATAGTCGAATTCCCGCCATTCATTCATATCAACACACGTTGCAGATCTTGCCTGTAGGAGTAATAACTTATTGTTAATATTTTTCAGTCTTGAAAAGTTGCAATTGTCTCACTAACACAATTCCGGAAAAAAGATCAACTAATATATCGTACTTAATGGTAAGTTAATTTAATTTTTGGAACAGCCTATCATTAAAGTATAACAATAATGACGAACTCCAAGATAAATTCAAAAAGAGGAAGTCCATAAAAACTGACAAAATCAAACGCTATCAATCAACGGAAAAAGTGAAAAACAACAGTTACTGCCATATTCCACGGAATAAGATCAAGTTTGACAAATCTCATGCGCATGAACAAATAGTGCGCATTTAATTTGGAAGAGAAGAGAGGTGGAATAAATACTTTTTAATATGAAAACTGTCAAAAGAATATTATATAGTAGTGTTTGTAAGATATTATATTTATTTTCTGGATAATACTTGACTAGTAAAGACAAAGTGATCATTATAGGTAACCTAAGCGCAATTTACTATTGAGTAAAAATCTTAAATTCTTAATAGACTTCATACGACATTTTTATTACATGCAGACGACGATGGTAACCCTTTTTAACTTCTGAAAGTCCTTTAAGCATTCCTTTCATCAAGCTCTTTGTTGATACAGATAACTATTGCGCTACGCTGCAGCTACTTGCGTGAACCTACAGTTGATCCATCTGTATTGTTGAAAAAAGGAAACACATATTTTGCTATTTTATCATCAATCTAAGCAAGATGGTCTTAGAAGGTGGCTTTAGAAATAGATTCATTAAAGAATCGAATTGTGACCTTTTGGATAATTTTTGATCAAGTTAAATTCCAAGGCCATATTTTAGTAAAAGTGAATCTTTTCCTTTCACAGAGATAAAATCACCCTATTTCCTAAAGAATAAAGAAGAAAAAACATGAAGAATTCACAAAGACGAGTTTTATGATTTGTGACAGGCACATGACCACGTGGCGGTGTTAACCTAGCTTCTCAATATCTCATTTCTAAATCTTTTCTCATTTGATATAAATATATTTTCCAATTTAAGAATGAGAAAACAACTCTATAGTGTTTATTTTTCTTTTTTTGTATTTGGTACTGGAAAATATATTCTAATGATAAATACACATATAACAGTGATAATACCTAAAGAAATAGTTGATAATATAAAGAGTGATGACAAGGATAGATGTCCATATGAAGCGTTTCCTTCTGATATTTCAAAGTGCACTGCGCGTATCTGTAATATCTGTGTCAGTGTTGCAAATATGTGGAAGATTTGGTGGCTTTGTCCAATAATATCAAACATGCCTGGCAAGAACACTTCTGGCAAGTGACAACCGTACGATACTCCTACAAGAATAAATGATAAATATATCCAATTATAGTTAGTAATTGACGCTAAATATTGGTGGTTTCCATTCAGTAAAAGCCAATATTTTCTTGCTACTGTTGCAGATAAAAGAATTGCGTGCAATGAAAAAAACAAACATAGTAGACCTTTCCTTGTCCTCTGTTGGTCTTTATGTCCAAAGTTCGTTTTCATTATACACAAAAGAACAAAGCCACCAAAAGAGAATATCCAATGGGCAACTAAGTAAACATTTACGATCATGCCATAGGTGTATTCATCTGAAAAATAGTAAATGGCTATCAAACCGGAAGCATATCCATACATATACACGCCTGCGTAATCAAACAGAAATAAGCTGTAATGGGCATCAATGTTTTTGCTATGAAAAATATGTGCTATTACACTTATTGTCGTCGAATATATACAACAAACACTAAATATTAATAAAGTCCATGATTGATGTTCACGATAAAAATTGCATTTCTCGGCATACTGGTAAATTAAACTCAAGTGAACGAAAATGGCTATCAAATGCGACCATATATTCAAGGTCTCGTTGTGAATTTGAAACATGCTTCTTGCATAATAACTCCACGGCTGATTAATCTGACGGTAACCAATAATGATTCCTGGTTCCTGCATTATAGCTGGTATTTTAGAGGCTCTGAGTGTGTTAGCTAGGTTCCAAAACATTTTTGATTATTTCTTAACCAATATAAAATCTGGAAGATAAAACATAATATAAATATATTTAAGACAGACACCATAAACATACTATGCATACACAGGCCAGAGTCTGAGCTTGATTTGCTATATGATATAAAAACTAAACTGACGAAAAAAGGTTATTTATTCAAAATCATAAAATGCAAAAAATTCATTTTGCAAATAAAACATTTGACATAAAAGTTCATATTCAATATGAAATAATAATACATAATTAATATGAAATTACAATATCATATCAATTGAATAAACGACAAAGAATAGCAAAGGTGGGGAGAAAAATCTGCCCCACAAATAAACATATATACATATCTACTTCAAAAGATAACATTAAGGGAGTTATGTGGGTGGGAATTTTTAACAAATAATTTGATAAGAACCACAAGTTAACACATCAAATGCTGATGATAAAAGGAAGTGATCACAACGCACTTACACGTGAACTCGTGCTGACCCCGTAGCATCTCACCGTGTTTCATGAGATGACTATTAATAATTGAGCTGTACAGTCATATAAGCAGTCCTTCATTTTGACAATTACTGCAAGGTCTTAATAAAAAGAGTCCACGCTTCATCGAAGTAATCAATTGATGTAGGCTGTAATTTGGTTTGGTGTTCTTGTCATGAGGCTTTATATTATGTGTTTAGTGTAGTTCCATCAATATTTCATTTTATTCATTTATTTTTTTAATAATGATTTATTCCTTTATTTGTTTAAACCTTTAAGTATACATTTCAGTTATTTTTGATATAATATCCTACACTGTCGTAATTTTTATTTAGGTGGCTAAGTCATATAATTTGCGACATTGAACAGTAAAAATATCCAGCACTGAAAAATTAACTATATGTATTTCAATATAATAACGTCGAGGACAGTTTATCAAAACTGCAAAGAAATCGTGAATATTTATAAATTTGAATGCCACCTTTTCTGAAGCGAGCTGATGTAGACGTCACTAGTAAAGAAACGTTCATTTTGAACTAGTAGGTTGATCAAAAACGCCATTTTACACTTTCAACGACGATGGTGAGATGTTTGTAGTTCTTATTCTTAAAATTACAATCTAACTAATCGAAGGTATATATGCGTAAACTATATGAAAAAAGCACGCAAAATCCCCCAAAAGGGGAGAATTAAATGAAAGGGACAGGAAATTAAAAAAAATGTAGTTATATGTTGTTTTTTTTTAGATGAATTCAACATATGCTCTTTTCATACTGCCTAGAATTACCACATTGTAACATCATCTAGCAAGTGAAACTGTCATCACTTTAGCTACGATACTCTGTTGGAACTCTTACAAGTTGAAGACAGCAAGATGATCTTGTAGGTGTATGTATATTGTTTGTTTTTTACAGGTAATTTTGACAATCATATCCTAAAGATTGTGTTTTATTATACGGTTTTATACTTGTTCGATTTAGTGTACTGCCTTCATTTTTATGTTTGTCCAGATGCAAATAGTGTACAAGAATACAATATATTAATTCCCACATATAATGTATAGACATACAAACGTACTTACCAGTCTCTAATTGCATCTGATTGAGAGGCGTCTTCTCTCATCTTATAAATGTAAAACCGGAAAAAATATCATTAAAGCTTATTTAATGAACCCGGACGCGAATGTATGTCATTTTCAACGGATCGACAATCTATAAAGCAATGAAAAGAGACTTTTAAATGTTAACCTGTAAACATTATTGACAGGTTTTTAAAGAATGATATACCTGGCCACACAATATATCAACAATAACCGACGCATTGTTTATGCTGACATACAAACCATCGTTAAGCTTCACCATTTTAAGCACTAAAAACAAGTAAACTATTGGGCGTTCGAGAATATTGCTTTTTAAATAAGTTGTAATTGCCGTGTCCTGTATGTAGGTTTCTATAATTAACACATGGTATGAAATAAAGTTCTTAATTTTCGGAAAACTATTACTTTATCGATCTTTGGATAGGTTAGGGGCAAACAAATATATCTAAATTTTTAAGAAAAATTCACAAGGAAAAGGAACAAATGCAGTGATTTAGTGATCCCATATTACAAATTGATAGAGGATTACTTTTGCGCTTTCATGTTAATTTCTTGCTGGTGAAGATTATTCCAGAAACATGTCTTGTGCACGTGGAAATCAGTATCATATGAATTTAATCATTTAATTACAACCACTTAGTCGGTGCCACTGCAGTAGACTGTCGGTCTCCGTAGGAAGAAATAACTATTGATCCCATACTGACATGATTAAATCGAGGAGAAGTTTTTTTAATTTTCAGTTTATAAATTTTTCAACTGTGCTAAATCTGAGGTTGTTTGCACTAATCTTTTGACGACTTTTACTGTTCTGTAAAGTTGATGTTGTTTGAACACATGTAATGCGCACACAAATCTGCAGCATAAGTTGTAATCATCCTTTTATCGAATAAATGTAACTTTGTAATAAGGCGATTGTGTAAATGAACATTATGAATATGATGAGTCCCAGGGATAGATCTGAAAACAAAATATTTCAACTGTAAACTGTTGTCACAGAACTACAAATGTATATCTCACCTTTTCGTGTATATAATTTTGATAGTATATTGCTAATATTGAATTAAATGGCAGTATTTCAACATGTAAACTATGCAAAACATACAAAGTCATTCAACCTTGCCTTAAGATGCAGGGCCAACTAATGTCTAATAAGGGAGCAACCATTTAACTTCAAGGGAGGGGGTATGGTTTTTTGTCTAAGTCCGAATATTTTTTTAAGAAAAAAACATAACCTCCCCCCTACCCCCCCCCCCCCCATCCCCCCCCTCCCCGCCTTTGAAGTGAAATGGTCGTTCCATAATACCCAATTGTTAATACAATATCATTGACCTACCATAAGTCGTTCCCCTTTAAATGACATAATCACACACCTAAAAATTTAAACGCCCGATGCAAACATTATTTAAAAACTGAGGTAGACGATAAAAGACTTTATTTATGATTGGTTTAATTATACATACATCTCAATAAAGAAGTGTAGATAATAAAATAAAATAATGCTTTGCTGTTCGTCGCTCGTCGTCTTTGCCCCTGAATCTGCCCTTAAAACAAATATCAAAATTCCTAAACTTACAACACAATACACATCATACAAGTAGAGTGTATACATTATGACACGTCTTAAGATGCTTGCTGCAATTATTCTGGGTGTATTGTAAAGAAGACATGTCACCCCTAATAGTACACATTTTTCTTACTAGAAGCATATAATTCTTTGTTCTTACTCTTAAAAATATTCAGCGCCTAGGGAAACTTAGCAATACAACATGTAACGTCTTTGGTTTCACTTGGACATATCAAACAACGACCCGGTACCACAAGTCTTGTAATGAGCAGTTGATTTCTTAAACCAATGAAAATACCCTGTTGACCGATAACTCCTTATTTGTATACTGCCGGACCCGTTAATAGTACACCCGTTATCACAACGTTTACGAAAAAGTTTGTGAATACCACGTTAATAGTTAACGTATGATTTGTGAATGTAAAGCCCGATATTGTGTTGACACCCGATGCAAACATTATTTACGAAAAAACTCAGGTAGACGATAGAAGGCTACATGTACATTGCCGACCTGTAGACAGATTGCTATGGTCGAAACCCACCCCCCCCCCCCCCCTTTCATTTATATCAACCCACCTTAGAGAACTTGCCTATAGAAGTAATAATTTATTGTTAATATTTTCTCGTCTTGCCTATGCAAGAAATATTGGTCACTTGGTGTTTAGTAAAGAACAATCAGTCAATTAAAACATTTTGAATTAATGTGTCCTTTGCAAATAACATTGTATTCGTTTCAAAATCTAACAAGTTTCTCAACAGACTCGTAGTATTGGTCTTTAATTTCTTCATCCTTGATCAATAGTTCAAAGGAAAACATCTCTCTGAAATCAGTCACATCTGTCCCAACCATTGGAGATGACAACATTTAGTATCCATTGTGTCTGGCGTTTTGACTAACCAAAATTTATTTCTAATGTTTACAGTACAAAACCAGAACCTTTTCAAAATCTGGAGTTATGTTTGTGTACATTCACCAATCCCGACAACAGTGATTAGTTTGTACTAACTTGATCCGAGCATATTATAGCTAGTGCATGACGTTTTAAAAAGGCCGTATTTAACTGACAGTCAAAGGCCTATAACTCAGCGGAAACTTTTTTAAATCGAACGGTGTGTTATGTTCATCAATTTCAACAAATATGTAATATATTTTACAATTCAAATCCCGTAACTCTGAAACGAAAAAATAGAAAATTCCAAAAATCGAACGCTTCCATTTATCAATCCCAACAATTACCTTCATTTTTAATGAAATCAAGTTAGTACGCAATACGTGGAAAGTTGCCCTTATTTTACAGTGATGTTGTAAACCGAGCCCGGAAATTTAGAAACGATTCGTGTAAACTCATCAATCCTTTAAATAAACTTATTCTAAAAGTTTACCTATTCAACACTGAAATTAAATCTTTGAATATTGTTTTTATTGGTATAAATATTGATTTTGTTATCAGTAAATTAAAACCATACTAAATATTACACATATGTACATTTACGGTACTACAATCTGTCGATACCTATAGTTTGGCACTGCACAAGGTCGTCGATTTTCTCTGACTGTTTATGACGTCTTTATACTAAATCCATCGGATGTTGGATGTGTACTGATTGATATTTTACTCTTAGATACATGATATGTTTTCATTAGTTGTTATTGGCTTTGAACTAGCTGTCAGTAACTGCGAGTACTCTCAGATCTGTACTTAGTGTTTTTTTTTTTTTTTTGATGTATAAGTACCCGTCCACGTCCACTCTGTGTTTCTGTTAGATGTATTTTTATTTGTATCCATCTAATGAGTTAAGCCTTTTTCAACTGATTCTTATAGTTTGTTCTTATGTTGTACTGTTACACCATTGTTACAAATTAAGGGAGGGTTGATCGCTCACACACCCGTTTAACCCCGCCACATTCTTTATGTGCCTGTCCCAAGTCAGGAGCCTGTAGTTCAGTGGTTGTCATTGGTTTATGTCTGTCATATTTACTTTTCGTAAATTGTTTTGTTATAAATTAGGCCGTTAGTTTTCTCAATTGAATTGTTTCATATTTTTCATGTCGGGGCCTTTTAGTCATACGGTATGTGTTCTTCTCATTGTTGAAAGCCGTACGGTTGCCTATAATTGCTAACATCAACTTCATTTGAACTTTAGTGGATAGTTGTCTCATTGGCAATCATGCCACATCTCCTTATTTTTATATTAATTCAAACGGTTATACTTCAATAACTCTTGCACGGAAAAACAGAAAATTAAAAAACCGAAAAGGAGCTTCCTTTTGTCAATCTCAACAATAATGTAAAGTTTTGAGAAAATGAATCCAGGAACACTGGACTTAGTGCGCTATAGGTGAAAAATTGCCTTAATTTAACCCCAAACGGTTAAAGTCCCGTCAAAGCAAAAAAAAATATCGTAAGGAGGCATTCTCTCGTCAATACTAATGTTAACATATGTTAAATGTACATAAGAATTGGTTACAGCAAATATAAGTTATCGTACGAAGTGTTGACGGACGGACGGACGGACATTGGTATTCCATAATACGAACACATGACGTATAAAAATGAAACAAAAACCATTATAACCCCCTCACATTTAAATGGTCGTTCCTTAAACAAAAAATGTGTCATCATGTATTTTGCAGCCAAACTCATATTTAAACTGTTTAGATAAAGTTTTTCTTGTCCCCATTATATTATTATTGTGTTTACATCTTAGATATTGTACTCTGAATCTTATCTTTCTAAATTCACAATTATGTTGAAATCTTTTAAAACATAATGACTTTGTGTTTATTTTTACCAAACATGCGCTAAAAACGAATATAATTTAGAACCTGTTTTATGGAATACCGGTTAATTTCTGATTATACTAATAACACATTTTCCTCACAAATATTTGGTCTGACTGGCTTTCAGTCGGTCAAATGAATCATTGCCGTTTGTCTGACCAAATGTGTGACAGTCCTTTGATAAATTTTTGGAAGCCTGCCACTAATTTCTATTCTTTCATTTTTCTCTCTATCTTCAAGACAACTTCAGACATTATTGCCTAAAATTATTTCATACGTTCCCAACAAAAAGGATTGAAGGTTATTCTTGTCTTTTGCACTTTCCTCAAAAAGCTTAAAACAATAAAATGGATTGCATACGATTTGAGACGTTCTACACATGTCTAGTTGGTTGCTTACAAAAATCATGTCACACGATTATTTGATGGCCTCAGATACTCTATCAATTATGAACGTGTCTTTGAAAAATTCATTATATAGCCAATTGTTTAACATATGCTATTTTAAAATAAGAAAGATCATGACATGTAAAAGATACACAGTTACACATAAAATTGTATGATAAATAGCACAGGCGGATTTAGGGGAGCAAGGTGCCTCCCTCCTTTCTCTTTTATGGAGCTACATATATGGTAAATGCATTGACTTTAACATGTCAAACTCTTAGAATTGCCTAACTTTGGGAAACCTTCTTCAAAATCCTGGATCCGCATCTGATTAATAAATCCGAATGAAAATAGTGGTGACCCAAATCTTTTCGGTTCAGCTACTCATTTCTGTTTTAAGTAATACAGTATTTGCATTTCTTAAAAAAAGGATTATTGCTTACTAGCAAATAGCAATACGGAACCAAAATAAAATTTAGTAAGAAATAATGCTTACCGTAATATCTGAAAAACTATCTTCTTAAGAAATAGGTCTAAATATAAACTATGGTCAAGATTTATTTGGCAGGAATGACTTACTTCACACTTTTGCTTCATGGCATAAATAATATATATATTTTTGAAAAACTGATTAACCGATATTAATTTACATCTAGTCGGTATACTTTAATAAAGGATTAATTTTAAGCAGAGCAAATTCAATTGTGTGGTGGCTCATTATTTGTGATCGTTTCAGTTATTCAACCAATCAGCAGAATTATAATTGTCATGATTGTAGAAATAATATATTTTGGATGTGGATTTCGCATGCCTTAAAGTAAATTATACAAAAATGGGTCGTTTTAATAAAAGATCAAACAGTGACATATGGAACATTTGACCAAAGATGGATTGGATTTGGGTTGCAATATCATTCAACCATCTTTTGTTACCCTTGAAAAAAAACCAGTGTATTTTCTGAACAATTTGGCTCACCACAAACAATATTTTTTATATATACATTTAGATGTAACAAATCATAATGATTAAGTTGACTTATGAAGAGAAACAACAGTTTTTCCTAAAGGATGTACTAAGACATAATAATAGAACGTGCATGCATAAATGAAAACTCGGACAACAATTTATATTGACATTGATACTTAGTGTGGAAGAAGTTGATCCACTCGATCTTCGATCTACGTTACCTTATTACTTTCAAATTCATATAGATAAAAGGAGATGTGGGTTTATACACCAATGCAACAGCAACCAATAACCAAAGATACCCAAAAGATATATAAAGAGGGCAACATATAGTCTTCAATAATAGACAGCTGTTTATATAATGGGTCGATTCTTAATTGAAAGCACTATAAATTCAGAAACTATTGCAAAGTTTTTATCAATGTGAATAATGCGACTGAATGAGTATTGCAATGATAGGAACTTGCATTCTAGCTTATATATGATACATATAACTGTATTCAGATTTTCCTGAAATCCCAATAATCAATCTCACATTTTAGTCCATTCTTCAAAATTTGGAATTAAAAATGCACGCAATTATTTCTGAATTTACAGTAATGAACATAAAAGTAGAGCTAATTTACCCAAAATATCAAACTACCGGTAACAGAAAATATTTAACTATGACATACGACATCTTCTAACTTAAGACATGCGCGGAGTTATGTTAGCAAAAATAACTGAAATCCCAAGACTTAATGTATACAACTTCAATATATAGAGTTCTTGGCATGGCAAAGGATCAATACTGTAGTAGTATTTCAATTGAAATTGATATCATTATTTGTTTAGATCTAATCGGATGATTAAGTTATGAAATCAAAATTTTGATAAACTTACTTAGATTATAAACTTTTTATTTCTTTTGTTACAAATACATTTTTTAAAGTTATGAGGTCTTATTCAAGAACTGGAAGAAGTTTTGAGAACGGAAAAAACTTCAATTAGAGGCGCATATAGATATTGAATATTTACCCTTCCGGAGCATCTGAGATCTACCCCAGGGTTCGAGATGCTCAGCCTTTAGGTTTTCTATGTTGTGTTCTGTATATTGTTGTTTTTGCCATGGCATTATGAGTTTATTTGTTTGAATATCCCTTTGGTATCTTTCGCCTCTCTTTTAAGGACAAGAAGTTCAGAAGAATATTTTTATTCCAATTAAAGGCCCCGAAGGGCATAAACATTAGACATGGTAATACCATTATAATTTGACATTAAACAAATAACATTTAATAAAATTAATTAATATATAACTTAATAAATATTTAAGCAGATTCAAATTTATAAACACAATGCAAGTGTGGCTGATAAAAGGTTCATAATTATATATTGAGAAAAAAATAGAAAAAAATAATAATAATATGTAGTGACATAAAAGACATACATAAAGTTTTCTAGCCCAAAAGATTAAGCATGTTATCAGTCTTCCCCGTGTCCGCAGCAAGTCAGATAGCAGTGTGGTATCCTCAATGCAGCTGACACCAGGGATAATACCTTAACACTTACTGGTATGCTAAATATATATGTTGTCTTTATCATACTTGTATCAAAAGCATAAAAGATAGAAGTATAGGTAACTTGAATGCAGTTGACACCAGGGACAATGTCACTAGGATATAAGAATATTTTCATTTAAAGAAAGAAAAAAAAAAAAAAAAAAATTTAATAATCAATAACAATATTTATCTTTTTTTTTTTAATAAATGTGTGTTTGACCGTTTAAATCAATAAGTTAATACATTCAAAATTTAAAGTATGTATGAATATTATAATCTTAAGAAAGATTTGTGTATATAATATTGCACATTATTTTAGGTAAATCAACATTTTATACACTAAAAAGCAAACTGATTTTGTTTGGACTGTCCAAATGATTCATAACACTTAGAACCTTATTCTATTATCAAATGGTATCCAGATTTATTTGTGTTTGTGTAATAGTACACAGGGTAACTTGGAATGGAGAAAAATATCCAGATCATTGAAAATTTTAGCATATTTAAAAGTGTCTAATGATTGCAAGTAATGCTTAGACTTGAAATCATTTTCGTTTACTTTTGTTATGACTGCCATCAGAGACGTACAATTACATATGTCGTTGCTGCCATGACGCAAGTGCAGGCTCAGCATCATCAACTTAATTACAAAAAAAGATTCAGAAAACAGCAACCTGGGTGCGCTTTTTCGGGATAATACTTCACCAGCAAGACAATGGCAGCGTTAAAGGCAACTCAAGCAAAGCGTACTTTACTATTGAATAAAATCTTAAATTCTTAAAAGACTTCATACGACATTTTTATGACATGAAGACGACGATGGTAATTCTTTTTAACTTTTGAAATTTCTGCAAGTATTCCTTTCAAAAAGCCCTTTGTTGGTGTAGATAACTATTGCGCTAGACTGCAGCTAAGCACGTGAGCCTGCAGTTGAACCACCTGTATTGTTGAAAAAGAAAACCTATATTTTGTTTTGTCATCAATCTAAACAGGATGCTATTATCAGCAAGCAGGATTTTGAAATAGATTCATTAAAGAATCAAATTGTAACCTTTTTCATAAAGTTATATTTCAAGGCCATATTTTAGTTAAAGTTAATCTGTTCCTTTAACAGATATAAAATTAACAACTGTCCTATTGAATAAAGACAAATCTCTGACGATATTTCTGATTTGGGACAGGCACATGAACACTTGGTAGTGTTAACCTAGCTTCTCGATATCTCATTTCTCAACCTTTCCTCAGTTAATATAATGTATACATTTTCTGATTTTAAGACTGAGAAAACGACTCAATAGTGTTTATTTTTCTTTTTTTAAATTTGGTACTGGAAAATATATTCTGATGATTAATACACATATAAAAGTGATAATACCTAAAGAAATAGTTGATAATATAAAGAGTGATGGCAAGGATGGATGTCCATATGAAGCGTACCCTTTTGATATTTCAAAGCGCACTGCACGTATCTGTAATATCTGTGTCAGTGTTGCAAATATGTGGAAGATTTGGTGGCTTTGTCCAATAATATCAAACATGCCTGGCAAAAACACTTCTGGCGAGTGACAACTATACGATAATCCTCCAAGTATAAAATATAAATATATCCAATTATAGTTAGTAACTGACGCTAAATATTGGAGGTCTCCATTCATTAAAAGCCAATATTTTCTTGCTACTGTTGCAGACAAAAGAATTGCGTGCAATGAAAAAAACAAACTTAGTAGACCTTTCCTCGTCCTCTGATGGTCTTTATGTCCAAAGTTCGTTTTCATAATACACATAAGAACAACGCCACCAAAAGAGAATATCAAATGGGCAACTAAGTAAACATTTACGATCATGTCATATGTGTATTCATCTGAAAAGTAGTAAATGGCTATCAAACCGGAAGCATATGCATACATATAGGCGCCTGCGTAATCAAACAGAAATAAGCTGTAATGGGCATCAATGTTTTTGCTATGAAAAATATGTGCTATTACACTAATTGTCGTCGAATATATACAACAAACACTAAAAATTAATAATGTCCATGAGTGTTGTTCACGATAAAAGTCGCATTTCTCGGCATACTGATAAATCATACTTAAATGTATGAAAATGGCTATCAAATGCGTCCATATATTCAAGGTCTCGTTGTGAATTTGACAGATGCTTCGCGCATAATAACTCCACGGCTGGTTTATCTGGCGGTAACCGAAAAGGACTCCCCGATTCTGCAATAGAGCAGGTATTTTAGATGCACTGAGTGTGTTGGGTGGATTCCAAACCATTTTGATTATTTCTCAACCAAAGGCAAATCTGGAAAATAAAACGATAAAACATATGAATATAGTATTCCACTATCATATTTAGACACATTGATTAAGAGCAATCGAAAATACCAACGAGTACAGCAAATGAAAATAACACGCTATTAATTTCATGCGTTCGAACGCATACCCGGATTAACCTTCACCAGGAACACTCAGTTCTAAACATCTTACAGTCAGGATGAATACGTATAACTGTTCGGAGCTACATAACCAACAGCACCCTTTACATAACAGCCAATTCACCTGAAGTCAACATTGAATGAATTAATTGGAACCCTAGTTTAAGAATAATTTCTTCTTGAACTTACCGGGAATATTAGTAAGTTATGAATATTTAAATCATGTCTCTCGTTATTCTTAATTTAGTTTTTTCCTTCTCCAAAAAGTTGCACACGGGATAGAAGACACCTGTTTATTTTCTACAAAAAAAATACCATATGTCGTTCTTTTAGATATAGAAATTGTAGAAATCATATTTGTCGTCATTGTGATGTACTTATTAATCATACCGAAGTATAAGTTAATTTACTGAATTAGTTCGTTCTGAATCCGTGTTTAATTCTACGGAAACTTGTATACTCGATAAGATTAATCCACTTTTCACTCTCTAAATGAGAAAAAAAACAAACATTAAGGTTTGATGGAGTTATTGTTCTCGCTTTATCTTTAGTTTTCTGTATGAACATAAGAAGATGTTGTTGTATTTTTGTGTTGATATCAAGTCTCCACTTGCCGCTCTGTCTCCAATCTGCGGATGTAACGTCTTTGTTGTAAGTGTTTAAAAGTATAATGTACACACACTTGATTCACAAGAAACTAACTAGCTCATATTTTCCCCCACGAATGATCTGTAATAACAGAAGGAAAGATTTGTTAACGAAATCACATAATTTGAATAGTTCTACAGTACTGTCTAGTCTCATCACCTTCCAGTATGTTTAAAGTGATGTCCTGACCTAATTTACATAAATTAGCATAGTATTACCCAGAATTATGATTAGAGTTATATCATCGCAGTTTAATCACAGTACACGCATTTTTTTAAATAAGAAGTAGTTTTTCGGTTACTTGGCGGTCATTTTTTTCATTTCCTAGAGTAAGGGAAATAATGCACGTATTGTTATCCTTTATCTGCTGGAGGCGTTCAAGTACGTATCCATTAAATCACTCAATACACATGATACACAAGAATATAAAAAAGTGGCGAACGATACAAAAGGGACAAACTCCTTAGTAGAAAATAAACTGTCAACGCCATGGCTAAAAAAGAAAGGGACAAACAGACAAACAACAGTACGCAAAACATAACATACAAAACTAAAGACTGAGTAACACGAACCCCACCAAAAAGCAGATCCTGCTCCACATGTGGCACCCGTCGTGTTGCTCATGTTAGTACAAACCCGGTAATAAGTCTAATTCGGTAGGTCACATTCGGGGAAAAGGGGACTGGATTGTAGTAACGACAATTGGAACATATCCACTATCATCTGTGAAACGTATATTCCATAAGGGTCAACCAACTCATGATGGCGTCCGTAAATTACGAAGGGATGAATTCAACTTCACCACTTGGAACTCTTGGTTTAATAGCTTCCTCGTGGGCAGCAATCCTCTATTAAGGAAATTATGATGGGAAATACCAGCCCTGGAATATTGTATCAACTGGGATATATATACTCCGTAATATATAAGGTAGCGATTGTAGATAAAGATATCGGGATATGGATACTTAGTCAAATCTTAACAGGAAGCTGTGATAATATTGAAAAAAAAACCGGCACGGATAAAAAACCATGTCAAAAATGTTCAGGCTTGAACTTAATCTTTATTTCGGTAAGTTAATGCAAGCATACGATCTGTATTTTTTCTTAGACCGTTAGAGGCAAATGTTAAAATAGAACATATTATATATTGTGTGAACACGTTACTTATGAGCTATGAACATCAAGTAGTTCGTGCATCATTCTGAGTAGGTTTTAAAAAAAACACTTTCATCAATTATATGACTTACCTGCATGAATATTTGTGTGGTGTAATATGCATAAGGAATGTTTTTAAAAAGGTTTATTTCCTCCTGTTCCTACATTGTAAAATCTGGTATGTCATTTGTAGAAAGATCCTTGTAGGAGGTTCATTCAACCTATGCCAACATTTTAAATTTTAGGTATAAAATTGTATGAAAACATATTGGAATAGGTTGAATAATTTGTAACAGATTACGTGTTATAAAAACACAAAATCAATTTACAGCATGTTTAACCTTCATGTTTAAGTGTCCTCAATACCATTTTTGTTACATGTAATAGTGAAAATGTCGGTAATTATATGTGTTTAGGATCTCTATTTCATTAGGAATTAATATAAAATTAATATAATAAAACAATGGAAATAAAGATTTCTATAATTTCATTAAAGAAATAATCAACTATTCATATCAAATATATACTAATGTCATTCTCGTGAATAATATAAAATATATGATCAAAATATTTATTGACGTTTCAAATAGATACCTTTGAATACATTGACTTACTGACTATCATGAATATAACACTATTGAAACACATATTTAAATTTGAAATATTCACTATTAAATCCTACAATATTGACAGAGTCAAACTTCACTATGGTTGTCTCAACAGTCTCAAAAAGTCATATAGCTAATTAATATGTAAAATTCATGATACTGCATCTGCATACTCAACTAATATCATGTTGTTATCCTGGAGTCTCTGAATTATGTCAAATAGCCTGTTGTCATTTTCAATGCACTTTCTTTTGTTTTCACGACTTTTATCACCTGCTGGATACTGTATTATTCTAAACTCAATAGCTGTTTGCTGTTTCTTCAATAGTTTACCTTGAGTTAAATATGTTTGGTTGGGGTTCTATACATGATTCTTTAGTTAATGATGCCATCCTTCTAAGTGGTTGTTTGTTCTTGGGTCTACTATTTCATAATGTTTCCAGAAGTGGTGGTTACCCTCAAGCCAGTACAAAAATAACAGTGCATCTGCCACGAACTTATCTAAGGAATGTTTATTCTTGAAGCCGTAGTATGGTAATTAACTTAAATTTTTAATCTTGTGCATACTCCATACTGGTTGTCTTGATTAATTTGCTTAACTTGAGTCCCCAAAGCATGTACATGCATGCTTTGAACATCCCCCCTGACACACAACACACACACACACACACAGTGAGATAATATGATTGAAACCTACATAAAGTATTTGAACTATTTTCCATTAATCACCAAGACTGGCTAAAACAAAATATTTGGAGCGAAATTACCTTTAAAACTATTTTCCTCCACTGAAAATGAATGTTACTTTATTCAATTATAAGTACTTGGTTTGCCAAATCTACTAATTTTATTGGTTATTGGGAATTTTTATGACAATATATAAAAATACTATATAAGGAATTGAAATGAAAAGGGGTGGAAATTAAAGAATGTTGTAGGTCATTAGTGTTTTCAGGTGAATTTATGCTCTTCTCGTACTGGCTAAAATTTCTACGTTGTTACATCACAAAGCAAGGGAAAATGCTATCACTTTAGCTACGATACTCTGTTGGCATTCTGACGAGTTAAAGACACGCAAGGTGACCTTGTAGGTGTATAGATATTCTTCGGTTTTTGACATGTAGTTTTTGGTTATAATACCCAACAAATTGTGTATTACAAATTGTGTATTAGTGTACACCTTGAAACGCCCGTGTGTACGTTTTAGTGTACTACATGTATTTTATTTTTGTGTACAAGAAAAAATACATCAAATACCACCCATTATGTGTAGACATACAAACATACTTACATATACCTGTATCTGTTTAACTTTAAGAGGCGTCTTCCTTCAATTTATTATGTAAAACCGTTAAAATTACCATTGAAGCATATAGTATGTAAGTTTAAATTTTATGACATGAACCCGGACGTGAATTATTTTATTTTTCACACATCGACAATCCACCAAGCATGTAAGGTTACTTTTTAAATGTTAACATGTTTAACCTGAATACATTATTCACAAGCTTTTTATAGAATGATATACCTGGCCACATTTTATATCAACTAACCGGTAATATTTGAAACACACGTTATTGTACACATTGCTAATGTTGTAATAGCCAAAACCATTAAATGTCACTGGTTTTAAGCACTACCAGCGAGAAAATCTGTATACATAATAATACAGATCTATTGCAAGCTTTAAATTGTCCAGTTACTTGACCGTAAATGTATTGATGGACGACCGAGAATATTGCTTTGTAAATAAGTTTTGTTTAATTTTCTTGTCATATATTACTTGGCATTAACTAATGATATGAAATAATGTTCATAAATGTCGGGAAATTTCTTATCACTCAGAATTGATACGAAATTCTGAATATAGAAGATTTTATTAAAAAGATTTGTATATGAATTAAGCCGTCAGTTTTCGCGTTTGAATTGTTGTCATTTCGGTTCCTTTTATAGCTGACTTTGCGGTATGGGCTTGCTCATTGTTGAAGGCCGTACGTTGGGCTATAGTTGTTAATTTCTGTGTCATTTGGTCTCTTGTGGAGAGTTGTCTCATTGGCAATTATACCACATCTTCTTTCATATTAAAAAAAATTATGGCACTGGATTTTTTTCATATTATCAACAGGAGCAATAAGTAAACAGTTTTTTTAATAAACAAGTATGAAAATTATGATCGAATCAAATTTTCCAAAAAGATAATTCTGCATTTTTGTAATACGGTAAACAATTGAAAAATTGAAGAAATAGGGGCAACATATACAATTTTACAACAAAAGCTCAAGTTTAAGTCGGAAAAGCGATTCTTTCCAACATAATTTTGCGGATTTCCGATATGTAGGAAACGAATAATCCTATTACGTTAAATTGTTAACGTTAAGATTATGTGTTTTAGATAAAGAGATAAAATGAATGTAGTTGTGGTGAAGAGTTTTTAAAGTTATTAATGTGTTCTAAAACAAAATTGATAAACACTGTTACTGTTTAGTACAGCACTATGATGATCACACCTGATTTGTGCTTATACGTGTATTTGAATTAATTTGAGAATGCCGTATTTTTTGTTTGAACAGTACACTTAAAAATGCACGAGTCTGTTTATTAAACATGCATAGCACTGAAACGGAAAAAATTGCGAAGATTTCCTACATGAGGTATTATACAAGATAGAATAGAGAATGGAAACGGCGAATGTGTCAAACAGACAACAAATCGACCAGAGAGCAGAAAAATAGCACATGGCCACCAATGGGTCTTAAACGCATTGAGAAAACCCGGCCCTGGAGGCTGGCTCAGCTGACCCCTCTACAATAATGTATACTAGTTCAGCGAAATGGACGCCACACTAAACTCCCAAACATACAAATGAACCAAAAATTAAAAAAAAAGCACACAAGACTAACAAAGGCTAGAGGTTCCTGACTTGATACAGGCGCAAAAATGCGGCGGGGTGTAATTGATGGTTTACGTGTGTCATCGGCCAACAGTTGTTTTAAGACAATGCATATTGTCGAGACTGACATTGAAAAAAAGTACTTAAAAAAGAAAATAAATCATACGATAAGCGTGTTCTTAGATATAAGTTTTCCATATGACATCTTTGTTTGATTTTTCTTCTTTTTTGTTTGTGGGGGAGGGGATTTTGCTTCTCTGTTTCGCATTTTATTTTATATCTTTCAAGTTATAGTTATAAGAAACACAGATTATCTCAACTATGTTTCACTGTGTTTCACATAAATGCTTTTAACGAATAGATATTGATGAAACTGACGGTTACAAAGGCATTGCTGATTTAAAGGGCAAATTTCCATACATGTAACCAAGATCTGGCTACAATTCCTAATACTACAACAGACGAATATATAGACAGACTTACACTCACATCACGGAAAGGACTCTACTGAAGTTTAATTATGTTGGCTGTGACTGTTCGATGTTGTTGTTTGTGTATATGTAACTGTTGCTTAGATATGTGTGTGTTGTTAATGCAGTCTCGGAATTGTAGTGTTATTCTGGATTTTTATATCTGACATTGTCAAACTTAACTTGTTAGTTCGTTAATGTTGATATTTATTTACACAAATAATATCTGATACCATTGAAGGTTACATTGAGAGTGTTACCAGCTTATTTTGATTTTGATTTTTTTTTTCGATGTGTTTATTCCTGTAATTCAGGCCGTCCGGGATGAAGGTCGGGTGGAATTTGGACTGCCACTGGAAAATGAGGGTATATTGGATAGGGAAAAACATTTATTTTGCCTTTCAACAGGCCACCTATGGACCCATCAAAGTGTTAACGTTGTTGCAAGGGTTCATAACGTGCAGAGAGTGTGGCATTTTCTTTTCACGAGGCATCGGATTTAATTTCCCCATTCTGAACGGACGTTGCTGCGTACTTGTACATCCCGTACAGCCAAACGGGCGCCCTACTTTGGAAAGGGTTTTATTGCTGGTCGGAAGACGACCAAGAGTGACCATATTTCTATTCCCCAGTCACCCTTGAGGGTACAATGTACTCCAATAAGGGATGAACTGGCGATTTATATGTGATTTATATAGATTCGGCTATGTTAACTTATTTGACGATCTTTTAACAGTTTCTCTCTCTATCTATTATAGTATTTAAGACATCAAAACGCATGAAAATATGATAAAAATCGTCAATAAAGGGCATTAACTCCAATAAAGAGTCGTCTGATGATTTCGATAATTTAACTTATTTGTAGATCTTGTCTTGCTAATCATTTTTGTTATGTAAAGTTTCGCTCTAATTATTACATTTTCAAGATAATCATAATAATAGGCAAAATTTTGGTAAAATTCATTTAAGGGAAATAACTCCAATAAGAAGTCGTATGAATGTTTTGATGTATATAAAAAAGATATGTAGATCTTATCATTTTGAACGTTCCGCCCCTGTAAAATTTTCTCTATTAATAGCGGTTTTCAAGGTAATAGACAAAACTTGCATTTTACACCCGCCCCCCCCCCCCCCCCTTTCCTGTTCTATCTTTAGTCATGTCAGCCATGTTAGTAAGCAGGCAGGTTAATCCCGGACAACTTAGTTTAACTAGATGATGGTTGTGGGCAAGTTATGTGAAATTTAGCCTAGTAGTTTCAGAGGAGAATAATT